AAAGCCCACCTCAGGAAGAAGTTCGGTATCAAAAGAGTGTAGATCCAGGAGCCCAGGACTGAACTCGCTTGGGGATTCCTCCCCATTCTTTCTCTGGCTAGATGACCTTGAATTTGTGGGAGGTGTCGAAGGCTCCATGTAGAACTCATTCCCTCCATTATAGCCCCTCTGGGCATTCCGATACATTCGTGATCCCTGGCCTCCGCCGCCGCCGCCATAGTAACCAAAGTCCTAATCAAGTTGCCAAGACAAAAGCGAAGTAAAAGGTATGAATAATCTAAGTCCACACAACTGCATGTGAGCCTCTAACTAAAGAGAGCTCTTCCAAAACCAGAAACAGCAAATGCTCTTGCTTTCCCAGATAAGGCAACCGGGAAATCTCCAGAAAGAAAAGAGAAAAGAAATTGAAGATTGTCTTCTTCACCATTCCACTAGCATTTTGGGGAAACACTCCCAGCTTTAATTCGAAAATCAAGCATTCGTCAAGGACAGAAGAAAACAAAATCGCCGTGCCTCTAAATGCCTCTTGAATGACCCCAATTTTTCGATAACTCCGCTCTTAATGTTCCCTTTTCCTTAGCAGAATCTAAACCACTAGAGACCTCCCTTGGTCATCGTATTATCCCATTGCATAAAATACATTCAGACATACATAAACGCCCTCTCAAACAGTAAAGGCAGCTCCACAGTTTAACAACCATAAGCATCACCAAGAAACAGCTGCCCAGTCACAAATTAGAGTCAGATCTATCGAGATCCACACACTTGCGGGCATTGCAGTCATCCTTATCCTCCACCACGACGAATTCATTCTGAACTGCCCCTCTCCCATTTCCTTCAGTTTTTCAACACAACAGCATTCGATCCGGCGAACCCGAAAAACGGAGAACGAAGAAATCGATACGGAACTCCAACAAAAAAAAAAAGGGAGGAGTACCTGAAGCGGAGGAGGGCCGGACGGGTTGGAGGACTGCAGGTGCTGGAGACCCGCGGACTGGAGCCACCTCCCATTGGAGGAGCTCTCGAAGAAGTTGTCCGAGTACTGCCGCTGGTGGTGCACCGCCGTCGCGCCAGATCTCTGCACCTGCCTCCCCATTGTACTCATCCCTCTCTTGAGAAAAAAAAAAGAAGAAGAGAAAAAGAAAAAATCAATGCACTCCGCCGACGACGACAGGAGGGAACCACCGGCCGGCCGTCCCCTCGAATCCGATCGGAACAGAGCTCGCAGAACCCTCTCCCTCACCGGGAAAAAACCAGGAAAACGTCAGCGGCTCGTGCACGGAGAAAGCTCGCAGGTTTTAGAGAGAGAAAACGAGAGAGAGGGGGGGAGGGGGGGTCGAATAATGCGGTGAAGGATCTCTTTCACATGGGAGGGTGCCGTTCTCGCAGCGCTCTCTGTTCTTCCTTTTACGGGGAGCGACGAGTCTACACCATGTAAGAAGTGAACAGTGAGAAAAGCGAGAGAGAGAGAGAGAGGGACACCAACGTGAGGAGGATGAGTAAAAACGACGACTTGGTAAAGAAAGAAGGAGGAGGAGGAGGAGATTGCCCTCTCCCTCTCCCTTTCGCTTCCGGGGTTTTCGAATTTTGAAGTTAGTGAGGGGACGAGGGCCGGCACGTGCGGCCCGGGGCGCGTGCACGTGCGAGCGGCTGTCGCTGTTGGATCGGCTGGGAAGAGGGGCGGTGGTGCGACGGCGTTTTTGGAGGGTGGCCCCGCGAATTTTGGGGGCGTTTTCTTGAAATTTTTTTTGTTTTTGGAGGACCGGGAATAAGATGTTCCGCCACCGTCCCACATGGTGGGGACGAGTACGACGCGTCGTTTTGAGATGTGCGCGTGTTTTTTCCTTTGAATTTTTCTTCATTTTTTTTTGTCACTGTTCTTATGAAAAAAATGGGCCGTGCGCGTTTTTCGTGGACTGGGGTGGGCATTTTGTGTCGTTCATGGGTGTTGGGCCCTAGTTGGTGGATTCAAATCTTGTAGCTCGGAGGGAGCGGGGCGGGGCAGGGCCGACACGTGTCGCTACCGTATAGGATGATCCTTGTCGTCGCCGTCGCCATTTGGAGCTTTTGCCAGGTCCAACAGTGCAAAAACCCTCATGACAGGAACCCTCGATCACTTGATCCCAGCCATTAGATGAAATAGAATTCGTGAATTGGCGGTTGAAGTTCGCTCGCTTCATGATAGATCGGGTCTGGACATGATGAGTGAGGCAATCGGCAAATGCTTGCTCAATCCATGGCAAGCAAGGTCTCGAGACGTGTCTTTGAATAACTACTCCACTCCAATACCGGGAAAAGTATTAAAAAAGTCATAAACATATTGCATTGGTGACAATTCAATTCTAAACCTTTTCATGGATCAATTTAGTTTTGAACATTTTCATATTTGTACCAATTAAGTCCATCCAATAAATTTAAGACATGAATTGCTGATGTGAAGACTGACTGTCCTACATGATACGGTCGGTACTAACATAGACTTTTTAAATATTTTTTTGAATTTTTTGTTATTTTTTCATTTCTTTTTTCGTTTTCTTTTCCTTCTTTTCTTTCTCTTTTTTCTTTATTTCAGTCGCCAACCTCCGCAATGGCCAGCGGAGGTCATGGCTGCCAACGAGGGCAAGGGCTGGGACACCATCTCCACCCTAGCCTAGGCAAGGCCCCTCGCTATCTAGGCAAGACTGCCTGTCATCAAATTCGCTGAGGGGACCTCGCCCAGCCCTCGCCATCGCTAAAGGTCGGCGAGGCCCATTGTAGTCTGGGTGAGGCCGTCCCTTGCTTGATCTGTCGACAGGTGGCCTCGCCCTCGCTAAGGCTGGCGACCGGCGGAAGGAAATAAGGAAAAAAGAAAAAAAAAAAAAAAAGGAAAAGCAAAGAGAAGGAAAAAAAGGGAAAATTAATTCAAAAATTCAAAATAAAATTTTACATTAAAATAATGATAATGTTAGTACCAACCGTGCCACATGAACGATCGATGTCCATATCAGCAATTTCCTGAATAAATTGTCCAGACGGACTCAATTAGTACCAATATAAAAATGTTTAAGACTAAAATGGCACAATTAAAAGATTTAGGACTCAATTGGTATCAATGTAATATGCTTAGAACTTTTTTGGTACTTTTCCCCTCTAATACCGTATGGTAAATATATCTCGGTGATACGAAAATCAATTTAGAAAATCGATTCCTACAGTAAAATTATACACAATCATATAATATCGTGAGCAAATCCCCACTCGATACGTGCTTTCCAACTCACAAAAGAATTACGTCCTATTAACACATCAATGAGCTCGTAAGGGCTACTTGCCAACCTTTGACTAGAGGGCCATCGGCGGGAGAAAATATTCACTAGTATCATACTGTCATGTCATTGTCCTACGTGGCATATCTGTTCCATTAAGAAAGTGACATGTGTCAGGTGACGTGGAAAAAGAAGAAGAAAAATTGGAAGTTTTCAGACGCGCACTCTCTTTCCCTTTTCCTTTCCAGCGTCTTCTCCCCCACCCTCTCTCTTTCTTTATTTCAAAATTTCAGGCCTCACGCTTCACACTTCCCTCTCTCCGTCTCGCAAAATCTAAGGATCATCTTTGGATGACCATCGCCGAACGCGCTGCTGGAAAACAATGGAGGCTTGGTGGAGTGGAGTTGGGGTCAGAGGGCTGATGGCACGAGCTTCCCTCTGAAGAAAAGGTCGTCGGAGAGAGAGACAGACGCGATTCGTGGTTTTAGCAGGACGACTCAGAAGAGAGGCGAAGTCGAACTCCCTGTCGACGTCGTCGCCATCCTCGACGCCTCGGCTGGCCCTTGCCAAGACCTGGACCCAACCCGCTTTACACCTCTAGGGCTAGCTACACGCCCCTGTAGGACCCGTCGCCCAACTGGAGCAAGTAGCCAGCCGAGCTTCGAAAACAATTGCGCTATCACCAACTCATTTCTCACTTCGAAGCAAGAGATTTGATCAGCTTCGCTAGAGAGAGAGAGAGAGAGAGAGAGAGAGAGAGAGAGAGAGAGAGAGAGAGAGAGAGAGAGAGAGAGAGTTGGGGTCTTCCACACCTCCTCCTCCTCCGCCGGCCTAGACACAAGTCCCTCTGCCGCCGGACCCCAGTAAGCCCGCCTTTCGATCATCCTTCGAATTCTACCGTTCTCGCGAAAGTGTATGTCTGGCTGAACACTCCGCGTCGATTTCGGGAGTCGATCGTTCTCTCGAGTCAAGCCCTTCGTTTGTAGGGTGGCGAGGTTGATGTTTCTTCGTCTTCCTCGCCTGTGTTGATTCCGGTGAAATGCCGAAAGGAAGGAAAATGTGATGCGATGTGACGTGACGTGACGTGACATAATAGTGTTAGATCGCGAGAAAATTTGCTCGCGACGGAGCTCTTGAGTGTGTGAAAAACGTAATTTGTTAAGCGCTGAAGCTGCTTGCTTTTAATCCGGTTGGCTAATTCTCGCTGCCTTTGGCTTGGTGGTTTTGTGTTGAGTCTTGTGGAACTGTGCTAGTGGACGGGGGATGGGAAAAGTTATTCAAGAAGCTGGCTAAGGCGGCGGTGCATTGGGATTTGCCATTATTCTGACTATGTATTGTTCTGTCAATGCATCGTGAAAGGATTTTAACTAAATGTACACTACCTTGAAGGCTGCTTGATGTAAAAGAAAAAAAAAAGAAATTATGTGAATATATAGATTGTAGATTGTCTCGAAGTGAGGTATTTGTAATAGAAAGTAAATCTTCATCTTGTTTTGATTATCTTTTAAGCAAGTAAGTGGGATTTACTTCATTTTCACTTGTCTGTGTCAAAGCAACTCGTTCCATAATTAGAATACGTTTGCTCATTGTAGTTACATCAATTGTATTACCTAATTAGAATACGTTTGTCACATGTCATTTGTACGCTAAGATCTATTTTATCGAGCTCGAAACTCTCTTCTTTTTGGTTTTCAAAATTAATATGATGTTCTGCACTTGCTTTTCCAGTGCATCTCTTAATGTATTCTTCTGGCCCTAACCACCATCTTTTGCTTGCTCAAACCGATCACTGACTTGCCTCCTGGAAGGATTCCTGTTGAAACACATGTAATTAAAAGGAGCGAACGAGGCTTTCAAGAAATGTATAAGGTGAACATGTCCCATTGTTTAAGAATCCTGTTGTTGGTAACTTCAGGCAATCATAAAAATATATACTTATGGAGAGTACTTCTCCTTGTTCAATCGATTGACTTGAAGTCTGTGGTTGTTAAGGGCACGCATGAAATCATTTCTGTTTCTCTATTTTTTTATTTTTTTGTTCCTATGAACAGGTTTAGAACAGAAATCCATTTGATAACGCAATTTCATTTTTCTATTTCTAGAACAAATTTCTATTCCAAAAATAGGTTTGGAACAGAAATCAGAAGTAGAAAAAAATTACTTTTCTATTTCTGGAACAGAAATGAAAAATAAAAACTTTTCTTATCGCTCGCCCTCGCTACTAGCCGGTCACCCCCTTGCCACTCGCCATTGTCGCCTCCCTCCACCATCGGCCGCCTACCGCTGGCGTCCTTCGCTGACCGCCTACCGCCGGCGTCCTTCACCGACCGCCTCCTCTGTCGTTCGCCATCGCCCAACGTCGGTTGCAACCCGCCCACCGCCGCCTCCCGTCGTCCTTCGTCACCACCTACCGGCCGGCTCTCGCCACCGCCCGCTAGTCGCCTCCCGCCAGCCCACCGGCCGCCTCTTGCTGCCGACCACCGTCCTCCACCGGTCGCCTCCCGCCCACCGGTCACCTCTTGCTGTCGACCACCGTCTTTCGCCGCCCGACGCCAGCCGCCACCCGCGACAAGCCGCCGTCCTCCGCCGCCGGCAGCCTTCTGTAGTTGGCCGCCTCCTGCCACCGGCAGTCCACCACCGACCGCCTCTTCCACCCCTAGTCGCTGTGCTCCACCGCCTGACGCCAGCTGCCTCCGGCCGCCCTCCGCCCCCAGCAATCGCCGCCTGCCGCTGTGCTCCACCACCATACGCCAGCTGCCGCCCGGCACCGATCGCCTTCCGCTGCCTCCCGTCGCTAGCTGCCGGCCGGCCGCCTCCCATCACCGACCACCGTCCTCTGCCCCTTGCCGCCACCCGCCGTCCTCCGCCGACTGTCCGGAAGGGAGAAATTTTGTGTCGTTATCAAACGAATTTCTATTTCAAAAACAAAAATTTTATGTCGTTATCAAACACATATTTTTGCTCTGAAACTCATCCACGGAATAGAAATAAAAAATCTATTTCTGGCCATAAATTGATTTCTGGAATATAAATGTTACCATGCGCGCCCTAAATCACTATTCTTATGCTTCATGGTTATCACTATCATATTCTTATTCATTTTAATGTCATGCTCTATAATCCAGTTTTGGTTTCGGGACTTCCACTAGGTTGTTCTATGGGTTATTATTATTATTTTTTTGCCTTCTAATGAAGTTGTGGGGAAGCAACCTTGTCTTGTCAACGCAGCACATTTATCACTACCTTCGAGTCCAAGTTAGCATATGCTCAATCGATGCTTTGCGGAGGGGCCATTATGGAGGTGAGGAATCTCCAAGAGGCCATCCTTGCCGAATCTGCCGGGGCATGCTGTGTGCTCGTGGCAACTCATTCTCCCGCTGGTGGCCGTTGTATTCCGTTCAACGGGCTGATCGAGGAAATCAAGGGTCACCTCTCAATCCCGGTGATGGTGAGGACTCACGTCGGGCATACTAAAGAGGCAGAGGCATTGGTGTCGATTGGCTGTCAGTTCCTCGACAATAGCGAGCTCCTCAAAGTCGCCAACGAGGATTACTTCCTCAACAAGCACGAGCTCGGGATTCCTTGCTGTTGTGGTTGCCAAAACCTTGGTGAGGCACTAAAGAGGGTTGGGGAAGGTGCTGCGATAATTAGGATACAGGGGGAGACATCGAGGTCTGGGGATATTAGCAAGACGGTGAAGAATATGAGGTCAGTATCGTAGGATGTTTGGGCTCTGAAAGCCATGGATGAGCAGGAGCTCGGCGACTTCTCGGCAAGGACCGGCGCACCTCTTGATTGTGTGGAGGAGACCCGGAGATTGGGGAAGCTTCCGGTACCGGCTCTTGCAGGGGGAGGAATCGCGACTGTCGATGATGCTTTGCCACTTGTGGATTTGGGCTGCGACGGGGTGTTTGTGGGGTCCAAAATCTTTGATACCAAGTATCCTTACTTGGAAAGAGGAGCGGGGCTTGACTCCTACAGAAGCCGAGGGTACTAATCACATCTTTCCACTTCCAGTACTCTGCAGAATAACAAATGTATCACGTCAGCGGCGTTGGATCACTACATATAGAGCAGGATAGGTAGAATTTGATAAAATGTTAGAACATTTTGGTGATTGTACAAATGAATAGTCATCTTCATTTTTTCGACGTGTTTGATCAGGTTCTGTTCTGGGTGGGGTTGGTCAGTCTTGATCTACCCTGTCAGTGCCCGTTTCCTTGTACTCTTTCATTTTCCTCTCAGTACATTTGCATGGTGAAAAGCAGAAAAAAGTGATTTCTTGATGAACCCCATTTGGTAATAACCCACGCCTCTTCCATTTCCTCATCGTTCCTGTCTTTACACACAATCCACCCAGAAGCTCAGATGATCAGATTTGAGCATTTCTGCGTGAAAAGCTTCCGATTTAGCTGATACAGTTGTTGGGTTTTCCTTTTCTCGTTGGGGGAGAGTTAAAATAATCGAGTTGCCGATAGATTACGTTTGGTTTGGAGCTGATGCTCTTTTTTGGTATCTTAGTGGTTTGATGGCTGAAGAAATGAATGACCCTTTTGTACAAATAGACAGGATCTGTTATGGCTTTGAGTTCTCGGTAAGGACTTGCACCTTTGTATCCTCTTCCGATCCTGGCTTTTGCGGGGAGGATAGCAACCGTGGATGGTGTGTTACTCCTCGTGAAATTGGGTGGAATTGGGTTGCGATACTGTCTTTGTGGGCTCAGAGATCTTCGATACTAAGTATTCGTATATGAAAATTAGGAGCAAAATAAAGTGTTTAACACTTCTATAGAACTAATCACATTTGAAGAAAGATCCAGTTCGTGATTAAGGCCTCTAATGCTTTGATAGAAATGAATTGGATCTTCATTTTAGGAAAGCTTTGAGAGAGAACCCGTAGATTTCTGTTACTTGTGAGTTGATACAATTGAGGGAAGCCCTATATATACTAGTACTCCCTTATTTCAATCGTACATCTCCTCTTAATCTCACGGTGGTGGTTCTTACATCTTCCCTTAATCTCGCGGTAGAGATTCTATCTTTATATCTACGAACTCCCATATTATCCCTAGGAATATTCTAGAGTACACAAAAAACCCTAGACCTTTAAAGCGTGAAGGCTCGCCCGCCTGGTCTTCTCGAATCATTCTCGGTTCATCGCGCATTAAAAACCTCTGGAATGTGACACATGCATGAACGTTTTAACACAAATCGGTATTGCAAAGTTTTGATGATGATGCTATGGAATTCATGGAAGCCCTGAGAATGAAAGTTAATAGTATGGACTGAATCAATAACTGAAATAAAACCATTTAACATGTTAAGCCAGATGACTGTTCAATGTGTGCATTGAACTTTAATTAAGTCAATGTTATAAACAGGCCGCGACACGTAGCCTGCGTGGGATACACTTCATTGTCTAGACATATCTAAAGAGGACACTTGAAACATATCATCTCGGTGTCTCTAGAATAGTCAATAAGCCGTCGACTCTCCCTCTTCACTATTCGTAAATTAGTCGGTCGACAACAATAAGCCTCTTACGACGAACCAGCCGCATACAATATAGTTATTTTTTTTTCTGGTAAATAATCAGTGGATTAATTTAATCTAGTTGTAGACACTACTATGATATAAACCGATTGTGCTATGTAAAAAACTCAATCGATTGCGCTGAGAATGAATTCGTGCATGCCCATTTTATGATAAACCATTTTCTTTCCATGAAATCCACCGCTTTATCCTTACCCAGTCTCCACTTAAGTAGAACTCCTACGTCTGAAGTGAGAAAACAGACCGAAACGCTAAACTACTTCATCACGAAGTCACGAGTATCGACAGGCCAAGCTCACCCAACCCAGGCCGAGCCCACGCCAACGAGCCCACGCTTGCGCAATCGTCCTGACGACGCCATTAGCCAGCGCACAGCGGGAGGAATCGCGACCGCAGACTATGCAACGCTTCTCGTAAGATTGGCCTGCGATGGCGTGTTTGTGGATTCGGAAGCGCGTTGAAACACTACAGAGATGGTCGAACAGGTTGGTGGTGACCTTGAATTTGATTCGATGTGCTTGATGAACTTTTGTATGGACCACGATTGAATCCCTCTTATAGGAACTTTGTATAAACAGACAGTATCTGTAGGTACAAATTGTATCTTCATTCTTGATTGTAGAAAGAGTGTGACAGCCGGTGTGATCAGCCATCTTAGATCACTGTCCTGCCCACTTTAGACGAAGTTGTTCGAAGTTGATTGACAAGCCGTCTTTTATAGCTGCTCATCTTGTGTGTTATCTTGTTTAATCCATGAAAAAGTTAAATTTCAGTCCAGTTCCCCAAAAAATTTGACGAGTAAGACGTAGGTAGATGCCCCGGAATAAGCTGCTAAGGGTGAGTCTGTTCGCGCATACTATTGAATATGATCAATTTTTGTGATCCTTGCGACATGCATTGTTGGAGGTCCAGGCCTTTATGAACTTAAAGACTAGTACATTTTGCTTATGCACAGCGTATGACATCAAATCGGTGTTTCGACATCTCGTGTTAACATACTTGTACCGTATCAGTCTGTTGGCTATTTCATTTAGGTTGCAAATTTACTGCGAAAATTCTCGAAAGTCGCATACATTTTGAAAGTAACAGCAATTGACTCCCGGTGATGAGTATGTTCTAACTGCTGGACTGAGATACAGGTGCACCAGAAAATGCTGGTTACTTTGTTTGGGGGCTTGCTTCTTTTGTTCACTGATACTTTTAACTGTGGAAAGGTATCTAGCAATAACCATGTGAAGTTCATCCCCTAAGAGTAATATTACTGCAATCCTATGAAAGTAATCCTGTACAAATTCATCTCTTTACACCTATGTAATAACACTTGCCAGCAGCTAGATAGCCTCTAGTGATGGCCGACAACGCGAAGCATCCACTAGTTTTCCCAGATTGCACTCTCTCGTTGGATGCTGATGCTACTCTCGTTGTTGAAGAAGCACCTGAGAGCGAGTTCATAAGCAGTGAAAATCGCACCATTCACAAAGAAAGCTCTGACAACAGCAGTTCCTAGGCCTCGCCACAGCACGCCGTAACCTTCCTCTTTCACACTTCTACACAGACAATCGACTATCCCACTGTATTGCACCGGCGAGAGGTGGGATTGAGCTTGCAGTCTCGTCTTCACGACGTCTAAGGGATAGCAACAGATCCAACTTGCAACTCCTGCTAGGCCTCCCGCTGTAATCATCGTCCTAAAGCTCTCTTGACCATCTTTTCTGCATCCAGGGTGGAGCTTCTCCCTCATATACTCGTACGTCCAGAAGTAGACCCCATGGGATGGCGCGTCTCGAAGCAAAGTGATCGTCAAGCCGCGGTACATACCTCTTAATCCTTCTCTCTGAAATATGCTTTTGGCAACACTCATCGGTCCATTATGGCGGTTATGTAGCTTATGGGAATTAGCATAGGCTCTCTCCTGCAACTGAAGGCGGATCTTAACCAATTCAGTGGGAGTTAGTATGAGACTTTGCAGGGCACCGGTGCCGACGCCTCCTAAAGCGACTCCTTTGTAGGAAGGAGGATCTTGGGAAGACCCAGATGCATCAAAAGCTCGGGATAGGATAGCGTAGGCTTGAAAAGCCATGGCATTCTGCATAATTCATGGATTGATTGTCAACAAGAAGAAAGTAAGACAGATTTTTTCATATGATAAGAAGCCAGAGAGAGTTTTCGGACAAAAGATGACCTGAAAAGTGACAGTAGCCAAGGGTGCACCCATGCCTCTATAAAGAGCACCCGGCCCCTCATTGCCGACGATGCCGCGAAGGATGCCGAAGGCAGAGCCGGACCTCGACTGCTGCTGCCGAATCCGGAGCGTATCGAGCGGATAACCGGATAAAATACCCGCAACCCCGCCGAACCCACCGGCCACAAATTCCCTACCCCAATTGCTCGCATGAAACTCTGGCCAGAAATCCATTATATTTTGCTCATTCCCAGCCCCAACAACACTCGACAGATAGCCCCCCAAAAAAGCAAACAAAAGAACCCCTTGTGCCAAATCTTTACCAACTTACATACTATCTTCTTCTCTAAGCCAAAAAAACTCGCGACCCCGTTCCCGTTTTCGCCAGACTAGAATCACTTCCCCGTTTGTAATGCCAGAGCTCTCGAATCTTAAGGTACCGAAAAACACAAAGGAAGATCGATTCGGCAATCAATCAGAGACCAACTCTAATACAACAACTTCATCAAGATGGCCAGTGGTTCACCATGAAAAGCACCCACGCACACCCTCTCTCTCTCTCTCTCTCTCTCTCTCTCTCTCTCTCTCTCTCTCTAGTAATTTGAGTATGTGGTGGTTCTTCTCTGTTTTTTTTTTTCCCTTCTTTCCTCTGTTTTGCGAGGGGGTGTGGTGGTTATTGCAGATGGAAGAACAGAGCACGAAACTCAAGGCCTGCGTGAAGAGCGTCCGAAACCAAAGCGGCCCCTTTTACATGTAACAGGAGACGACCAACGCCCCCACCACCGTCAACGAGGCAGCCACGTGGACCAAAGGGCGCACCACGCGCGGCGGACAGGTGGACGGGGTCGAGAGCCCAAATTGCGTGTCCCGGGCGGACGTGAGCTCGCTCCATCTCGACCGTCGGATTGTTCGTGTCCCGCTAGGACCCATGCAACTCGACGGTCAGAGATGGAGAGAGCTCGTGTGTGCGGGCGAGTAGGGGAATGTTTGGATTGCGTGGTGCTTGAGGCCTAGTGTTAAAGCTTGAACCCGGTATTTCCACTTCAACCAATCCGAGCTGTTTTCGGTGCGTGGAAGCTGACTCGGTATTGCAAGAACGGGATTTTTAGAAAAAAAGAAGTAAATAGCAAAAAAAAAAGGTCAACTTAAATTATGGTGGCATAAATATAATAATCAGCCTAATTATATATCCAATCGTTCTTCAGAAAAATGAAAAGAAAAAAAATTTTAAAAAAAAAACTCGTAATGCTCTAAATGGCTGGACTTTGATTTTCCCTTTTTTTTCTTCTTTATATTATATAAAAAGGGGTTAATACCATGAAAAATCCTACACTGGTACATTTGTAATAAATTTACTCCATACTAATTTTTTAACCACCAAAAACCCCAAATTGGTATTTTTGTGATAGATTTACCCTGAACTAATTTTTTAACCATAAAAAACCCCAAATTGGTACATTTATGACAAATTTACCCTTCGTTAGTACTTGCTACATTGGATTAATATCATGAAAACCCACAAACCGGTATACTTGTTATAAACGGAGAGTAAAACCCCAAATTGATACACCCGTCAACTGCCACGTGTCATCTAACTTATCAATTTAATTGTAAAATTTATCGAAAATTAACGGATGGTAAAATTATCACAGGTGTACCAATTTGGAAGCTTATAAAAAGATATGGAATTTGGATGCTTAGGGGTGTGTGGAGGAATCACACGACGTCATCATCTCCTCAGGCAGAGGAGGTGGAGAGGAGCTATTTGCCTTTTTTCGACGGTAGACGACGATCCATCATCCACTGATGACGTCAAGTGGGCCGCCGGGAATATTCATTGTGGCTCACGTTTGCCTCTCACTTTACTTCCAATTGCGTTTCAGTGATGCAGGGAATTCGAATCACCTTTGGATTACGTCGAGGCGAGCAAATCAATAATTGGAGGCTTCCCGACGATGGAAAAAAAGAAAATTCCATTCGCACGACTTCTATCTGAATCTTTGTATTAGCTTTCGAAAATCCGGTGCGAGTACGCATCCATAGGCAACGTGGGATGTATGGTTATTTTGGAGCTCAAAAGCTAACTTGATTTGGCGAGGCCCGACCTCTCCCAACCATGGTGAGGTCAACCTCGCCGCCCTTTGCCTCTGGCTGGTCATTGGCTAATTTCCGGTCAAAATTGACCGGATGGGCTTAATTGACAAAAAAATAAAAAGGTTTAGGACTTAATTGACAAAATCGAAAAGTTTATAACTGAATTGGCAAAAGTGCAATAGGTTCATGGCTTTTTGGACGATTTCCCCGAGAGCTCGGACCGCAAAACCCAAAGGCCGAAAATTTTTATTGGGCCTGCTCCATTCTGATTGGGCTTTTCAAGGCCCAATAGAGTCGGCCCGTTTTGTCCACCGTCCCTTCAAAGCCTCCCAGAAGGGCAAAGGTTGTTGCAGGGAAAGAGGAGGAGGAGCAGGGGCTCATCGTTTAAGAAGAGGCGGTTGGTGGAGGTGGATAAATCGCTCGCTGCCCCGAGCCACGACAAAGAGGAAACCTCGCGACTCGACCGGGGGGCATTTTGCGATTCGCGGAGCTGGCTCCGATGGCGTCGCCGTCGCTGAATCTGTACCTGGCGTCGCGTCTGGCGATTCCTTCCCTAGCTCCGCCTCCCCCGCCGCCGCCGCCGCCGTCGGTGGAAAGAGCTGGACCTTCCGGCTCGGCTGGTTGTAGGCGGCGGAGCTGCGTCCTTCGGAGCACTTTGCCCGTGGCGGCGTCAATGAGGTTCCCGGGCGGAGCGGCGGCGGTCTCGGTCCGCGGTAACCAGAGGTCGCAGGGTCAGGTTGTGAGGATGGCCCCGGAGGAAGAGAAGATGACTCGCCGCTCTCCTCTCGATTTTCCGATTGTGAGCCCGCCCTCTTCCTGTTCTTCGTCCTTTGATTTGCGTGTGAATTGATGCGAACCTAGGAAATTCTGGTGCTTGCTCTGGAGATTTCCCACAAGTTATTGGCGTACCCTCTTTGCGATTGGTAATGAGCTATGTAGCTAATTGTTTGATAGATGCGGTGTGAATGAATCGCTTTAGGAAAACCACAAATTGACCTGACTGAGGTTCTTGATGTCGAATTCATCCTCGCCTTCCTGATCAATCCATAGATTTAGGCTACGAGTAAACTTGATGTGTAGAATATCTTAGAGCTTATGAATTTCATTTCTGTTGGGTTTGGGATCAGTTTAAGGTTTCATTTGCCGAGGGAATGAGTAATTTGAAAGCTTCGGAATAGAAGTACATTACCTATTCGAAGGTAAGGCGTATTAATCTGCCCAAAGCCTTTTACCACTGTGTTCCTGTTTAACATTGTCTAAGTTCTTGAGAAAGTCTACCGGTAAAATGCAGCAGATCGAGCTAGAGCATAATATCCGTGTCTTGCTCGAGGATTTTGGTAATTCTGAAAGTTTGGATCGAGTTAATGAATGAGAATTTGGAGATAATTCTCTATGGCAATGTGTGTTTCTTCTACAAGAGACTCGGCTTACCATGTTAATGGCGTAATTCATTGAAAATGGTGTCTGCTTACACTTCGTGTTCTTGTTCTCTGTTTTCTCAAACTCCATCTTCCAGCATAATGACTTGTGTCTGCACGTGCGTCAAAACTTAATGATAGCCCAAGTTCAAGCTCTAACCTATGGGTTATGGTCTGAACATTGGACTCCATACTTAAGTTTCCTTGCCCGGTTATGGATCACCGGGCACCCATAAACTAGTCAATGTTTGGTTGAATCGTGACTGCATTGATAGTTGTACCCTAACTCGGACATTGTAGCTGGAAAAAAATATGATTTGGTTACCAGGAGAGCACAACACTAGCAGATACAAACGTCATTACCCTTATGTGTTACAGATCATTGAACATGTAATTCTTTAATTCCCTCCCTTGTTTGACGAATGATGCTTACAACTAAACGTTGACTGCAATGATAGCATGAATACGAAGTTGGGCTCATCTCTTGCTTTTTATTTTTTTTTTTTGGCCTTGATAGGAATGGGAGAGACCAAAGCCAGGACGTAGACCAGATATATTCCCGCAGTTCAGCCCAATGAAAACACCCTTACCACCTCCGTTGCCAGCAGATCCCCCTGAAGAAGATGAGGAGGAGGAAGAGAAGAAAGAGGAAGAAGAAGAAGACCCTGAAAAGGAGGAAACAGAGAAACCAGAAAGTCAATGAGGCGCGTAAGGTGGCTCATGCGCATCTTTTGCAACAACTTTGGAGGTCTCGAGTTTGCCACTAGGTGTCGCTGATCCTGCTGATTTTGTAGTGGATGTTGGAATAGTTGGTAGGGTAAGCAAAAAGCTCGAGATTTCTTTTTTGCCAGAAGCATAAATCTTTTGGTCGAGTAGGCGAAATCATTGCTCTTGTGTTGTGACTCAGATATGCAATCTTGTGAGTAAACTTCACATTGTTTTAGTTATTCATACTTTGTAGTCTTGTATAAACAGAAATAATCCGGCTGAGGTTTTAGGGTGCGAGTGCACCATTTTCTTTCGCTTCTCTGTTAACGTGAGAAAGTCTCCGAGAGAGAGGGAGAGAGCTGCCCCAAGAGTCGGTTTTCTCATGGTACATTGTTCACAATGAAGAAAGAGTTTCTCACGTGTCGGCTGTGCAAAACGAACTTTCATACTACTGCGCTATTAAGAAACTGATGGACAATTTGTTCGAGAAAGAAAGTTCATTGCTCCATATAATTTCATAGGAAAAAGGAAGTAATTCCCAGTGTACCCACGAGAGCTTGTACCTCTATCATTGAAACGATGAATGTTTTGCCTCATAATCTTAGTTTCTAATTGATCCTTCCAAAGGATCACAAGTTTATATGGGGATTTGGTGCTTGTGGCCTGTAATTTAGCGAAAAAGGAGCAAGGGAATGAGCTCCTAAATTGGAGTATCGGCATCTAATTTCGTGAGCCAACCTAATAATTTGACACGGGGCATAACGGATTCCCCTTGAATCTGTTGCTTTTCGTTTACCATAGCTCGAAGCAATTATCGGAGAACGGCATTTCAATAGAGCCTGCAACCACAACCGAGGATGAAGACATTTATTGCCCTACTAAAGCGCGGTGATTGAAAACATCGAAAGGGACGTTGTACGATTCAAAAATCAGCAGTTGCCAGCTAAAGCACGATCTGATAATTAAGTACAAACAGTGGAACTGACACAGAGCTTTAAGTAGTCCGATTAGTCTCTGATAAAACACAAGCACAAAGACAAGTTGAACGACATGGGACGGTCATACTTGACCTAAACGAGTTTCGATATAGATGTAATCACGGTGCCAAATCTAATGTTTCTGTATTCCAATCATTGTTGGAGACAACCCTCACTTCTTGCCACTCTTCTTGAGTCCAGATCCTCCCAAGGATCCCTTCTGCGAAGCCTTAGCTTTAAGCTCCTTCAACGCCTACATTAGAGTCAAGTTCGCCATGAGTTCAATTTGCACCACAGTGATAGTACCAATGACTCAGCTTTCTACCTTTAATTTACCAAAATCACATCTTACCTTCTCTTCATCCTTCTTCTTTTGAAGATAGGCCAAATCACTCTGCAGACAAGACAAACAACTTTGTCTCACTTTATGTCGCACGTAAAACAAGCAACAGGATGAAACAGCCAATAGGCCAAACAAGACAACACCTAGATTATGCAACTTCAGGATCAATAATCATAAGGTTAATATCGAACATCCACAAACAGTTCGTTTACAGGTAACCTAGAAGTAGAACATAACAAGCATTCTAGCTCGTGGGACATTATCGAGTCATCCTAAAGCACAAACTGAACAAAACTGCCCATAATTTGCTCAGAGCTCACCAAACTCTCTGCCTAATATCAGAACACTCCGAGATTCTGTGATGTGAAGTTCAAAAAACCGACATTTTAAAGCAAAAAGCACCTAGCAGACATGCAACAAGTGAAAATTTGGTTCCCGCAAAGATAACAGAATTAGACGGGGCGAGAGTAATCCAGCTACCGCATCATCCTCCGTAACAAGGGACAAAAACCCACAGCTTAACTAGGCAAAATAAACATAACGTTTTCTTGCACGATCAACAAGCACATGCCCCAGGGCTTCTTTCAGCACGATTAAGCTTATGAACATTCCAGTTTCGCCCAATCACCAAGCAAGTAAATATTTTCTTCCAATCATCTCAAGCTCCCCCTATCATAGCTCTCGCCGCGTAAAAACAACAACAACCGATCAAAAAACTAGCGATCTCGAACCAACATAAACGGATCTCAGTATTCCCAATCGACACGGAGCACGAACAAAAAACCCATCATGCCCTCACCACAATCATCACAAGAGCGAAATTGGCACAAGAACAGCTCGTACCTCGTCGTACTCCTTCTTTTCCGCCTTTGGTTGCTTCAAAGGCTTCGCCTTGCCGCCTAACAAACCGAAACGACGTCGATTAACTTCGCCGGCGGAAAAGGAGAAAAAAAAACACGACAAGAGGCCGCGACGATTCGCGAGAATTTCGATCGAATCCGACTCAAAACCTAATCCGATTGCGGACGACACGGACGGAGAGACATGGGCATACCTTGCTTGGAAGACATGGCCGCGGATCTAGGGTTAGGGTTTGATGCCCGATTTCAGCGAACTCGACCGATCGACAGAGCACACGGAAAGAGACCACCAAACCCCGAACACAATTATTGGGGGGGACGAAACGCGAAGCGTATTTATAGGAGAAGAGGTTTCGCACGCGGGAAGCGTGCCATCGATCCTGGCCATCGATTTGTTCTATTCATTTGGGCCTCGATCTTGTTGGGCCCATGTAACATGGGCCGCACGACTTGCGAGGCCCAACGATGGACGGGCCAAGCATGGGCGGGGCGGCCTCGAGATATGCTTGGCCCACACGAGATTAGAAAAGACTCGGGCGGTCGGGCCCGGGCGGTCGTCACCGGAAGAGTCGGGGCCGAGGAGCGACATGCTCGACGCTCGCGCCATTTGCACCGCGCTCTAGGCTGGCCCGACGATGGCCTTTAACCACATTGGCCAGCGGCTTACGTAGGATGTCATGCAAAATCACGATTTCTACCCGCCTGTTTGATTCGTGCAACGTCGATGTTCGATTCTCCTCCTCACATATTTGCGCCTGTGCCTCCTGTCGCATAACATGGTCATGTTCGAGATTGCCAGCCCTTGTTGACCTTTCAAACTGCAAAGCGCGATCATGGCAGGCCCGACGACAGCCTCTAAACACATCGGCCGACAACTTACGTAGGATGTCATGCAATATTACAATTTCTACGTGCCCGTTTGCCTCCCGCCGCATAACATGATCGTGTTCGACATCGCCAGCCCTTGTTCAATCATTATACTTTCGAGCTCTTAAAATATGTACACCTTAAACCACCTAGAACAAGCACTTGGAATGGTCACCACGGTGCCTTTGACCCATGGAAACGATGCCGGCCACTCTTTCCCGCCACCACCTCGATTTTAATACGAATTTGCCAAAAGGGAAAAAGGGAGGATTCTTCAAAACCAGCTTTCATCATTCTGCAGGTAACCAAAGCACAAAGCAGGGGGAGATGATGCTCGTTGACCTTTCAAAGTGCGCAAGTAGTTCCCTATATACCAAGGACCAACTGTATGGAAAATTAGCTCACCTTCCATGGAAGCTCAGGAGGAGGAGGAGGAGGAAGAAGGGTAGGTTTGAAATTCAGGTGAGGATCGACAGTTACCTCCTCCTTTCTTCTTCAACCTTGCCTGCCCCATCACTGTTAATGCTGCGAGTTCGCAGACGTCCTCCGACATGATCCCTCATCCCTAAACCATCATGGTAAACTCGCGTTCTCTCCCTCGGTCCGTTGTCTTCGATCTGTGGAAGTCGAGCTGTTGGCGGGTCGGTTGCTTGGTTTGATTTTTTGGGATTCGTTTTTTTGCAGTCGCTGATGCCGTTGCTGATGCGGTCGCTGATAAGGCTGGTGACGTCGCTGGTGGGGCAGCCGGCGAGCACGGTGACGACGCTGCTGTACTACAGCGACCTCCTCCCTCGCCACCTCAACCTGGAGCGCCTGGTCCGGCGCGACATGCTCGACCGGGAGAACTACCTCTTCCATTTCCTAGTTAATCTCCTCCGCTGCTTCTGGTACCTCCAACTTTTACTCATATCCTCCTATTGTCCTCATCACTCTTTCTATGAATTTTTCTGCCTTTTCTGCCTTCCCATCTCTTGATCACGAATCATCGTTCGTTTCCAATTTGGTTTGATCTTCAAGTTCATCGCTCACGATCAGTGACCCGAGAAACAAAAGAACCAGTAACTAGCTGCGAGATGTATTATATGAACACCTTCAACGGTCGGGGTGCTAATTCCATAGAATCTGCACCAAGCACTATGTGCGAATTCGCCGTGCATGAGGGACCATATCGACAAGCAGCTTACCTGTTAATCCTAACTAGGAGTCTCGTTGTGTACATTGCGTTCGCTGGGTGCATGCGGATTTTGCGCAGCTCGACTCGAGAAATCTGGTTCCTTTTCGAGGATAACGTAATTGCATTGGATTGCTGTCGACATTTCTTTTGTTGGTCCATGAGTTATGCAGGGTCCAGAGGAAAATGACTCTGTTCTTGGCTTGCATTGCAGAATTTTCCTAGATCCTTCCCCTGGCGGTTTAACCAGCTCGAAGAGTTTATATGATTTGGCTCAGGGGTATCGGGTGATGAACTTTGATACCAACGAAGGCTTCGCAAGACGATGGCGAGAGGCGATGTTGTTAGCATTAGTTGTAATCCAGGACTGGAACTACACGATCACCAGGTGACAATATGTATTAGGATCATATCATATCCTTCGGATTTGGCCTCCATTTTTGTGAGGCTTGCAATCTTCAATTCGAATGCTCGCGAGAGCTCGAACTTCGGCATCCTCGAGTGGAATCGATGGTCCTTTTTTCCTCCTTTCACCCGTTCTTTTCGCAAATGTATACGTACTTACCTTTTGCGGGGTCGAGCGACCATGGCAACTTCATACACGGGAATCGCTTGTGGCGCGCGAACCATTCGTCTTCGAGGTCGCTTGGGGTGTGATGAGATACAAATGTCCGATTCCATAAGATGAAGAACAACTGAATGCAAAAATTTCAGCAAAGGGAACCAGAATGGGGAATACAAGATTATGTTTCCACTGCGCTAGAGACCTTTGCCAGCGCGACATGTCACGATCCTAAATACAAATGTATTTCGAGTATAGAGTCTAAAGAGATTCAAAATGCTTGACGTCGATCCATTCGATTCCCGATACTCTACCGAAAGAAAGACCGTTCTAACTTTAAAAATATTTGGATTTCAAGTATAGATACAATCTGTGTATAGTAGTATACAGGCCCGGTTATGGGCCCGATTGGTCTTGCACGAGGCGATAAGGTCGGGGGCACGAGTCTAGAAAAGCAAAATTTCTATATGGACTCGTACACACCTGTTTGTACCCATCTCGATTTGATCATGATACTAACAAATGCATTATTTTTCGAGTCACGGACGGGCCTCTTGGCAAGGATTTATCGGAATCTCTCCAACATCAACCTTCGACCATACTTTTTGGTTTTTACCTATGTTCTGACTCGAATTTTTCTTACTCTTGGTGAACCTTTTCACTTTTCCTTCTTAACCTTACACTGTCACGCCTTTTTTTTTCCTTTAGCCAGTACAAGTGCATTTGGATGGTATAAGTTTCAATTAACAGAACATCGATTATTCTCCAAAATAAAGATGACATCTTTAATTTACATAAAACAAAAAGTTAAGAAAAGATTTATAATGCTAGCAGTTACATATTCTGATAAATACATATTGCTAGTAAGAAGAACGTAAAATACAAAAGAAAATATGACTTCCCATTGCCGCCTCCCGCAAGAGTTTGGGTAGAGCATCAAGTACACGTATCTTTACCAATTAACCAATCCGGGTGTTGGAGAGGCGGTGATTTACCTTATGGTGGATGTCGGCGGTTCGCTTTCAATTCGCCTCTGACTATCGAATGAACATGTGAATAAAAATTCGCTAATATTCGTATTAGTCGGAGCTTCGGTTGCTGGCTCCCCTGTTATCAGGTCGCCAGCAACAAATAAAAATACAATTCGTGTTATTTGGACTATAAAAAAGAAAATCGAGGGTCTGAAATAGGGCCTTCATTGAACTCATATATTTCATCTGTACTCTTTGTAGAGATAGCAAAATAACTCTTTCGATGAGATGAAAAATCAAAACCATTTTTACGGCTTAAAACCGCAGTAAAAAGGGTCAAAAAAATAGTTTTTATAGTCGAACCAAATTCCCCGAACCGGCGACAGCCGCGAAGACGACGCACCGTTGATTGGCATGTTCGGAGACATCGAACTCCGGTTCCCGTTGCTGCGGCCGGCGAGGCGAAACACGCAGTAAGCTCGCCGTCGTCTTCTTCATGGGTTTCGATCTTCACATTCATCTGCTCCCTCTCTCTCTCTCATTTTGTTTTTAGCTTCTTGTCCCCCTTCATCTATGGCGACGCCTCGCCGATGGCTTGGCTTCGTTCGTCTGAAAGTTCTCACCTTGTTGCGGGCAGGAGTAGGAGAGATGTCTCCGAATCAATGCTTTGAAAATGTAGATACTGGGTCATAGGGTGTTTCTCTGTTGGGCCTGGGAATTTGCAGTTCTTTGTGCTTGACGATGCGATGCCCTTGTTTTCTTTTTAGTCTGATCATTCCATGGATGTGTATGCCTTGCTCTTTGGCTCGAGCTGCAAGATAATTATCCTTGATACCGTGCCTTACGGAGCTTTCGAGCATCTGAATATGGGTTTAAGGTAAAGCTTTGGAAAGGTTGCATTTTGTGCTCAAGGTGTTTGTTATAATGACCGTGCCAAATGTACGAGACCCGCTCCTTCATTGGGTCTTTCTACGTATTCGTGGACGGTAGTTTTCTCTGTGACGGGGATGACTAGTTTGATTGATTGTATTATCGAACTCTGTACATCACGGTTTGTTCATTGGTTATCTCTGTTTGGTTTTGATCTTCAGCGTGTCTTATAAAGCTGGGTTTGCATTTAATAGTACATGCTAGACTGATATTTCAGTTGTTTTTACATTCGAGCACACAATTGACTTAATTGTATTAATGTCTATATCTGTTTGTGACCTCTCTTTTTTTTTCGCTTTTTTTATTCGCTACATGATAGCATCAGACGTGTTTTCTCTCAAGATGTTGATAGGCGGCTCCCTATAGCGTAAACTTTAACATCATTTTCATCAAGGAGAAAAATGTGCGATATACTACTGATAGTTCTTCTGTTTCTGATAATTTTGGCTTTTCAAAGGCATTTGCTCATATGGCTTTCCTTCTACAGATGATGGAGAGATGATGAGGCCTTGTCATTATGATTCTTCTATATGGAGGAGAACATCCTTTCCTCCAAGAGAGGTTCTCCATGTTTGTCATGATTGATATTTATCAGAGGCATGAAGAGGGTCGCCACTAGTGTCTCAGGCCATTTGTTTAACACCTGTTGTCATCAGCTTCACCTGGAATATTCAAGTATCTTATTGTTATTCTTCCCTTGTAGATGTTTGAGCTTAAGACATTTCTCCTCAGGTTCAACTACTGCCAGACCTTTTCCTGATTATTCCCCAAAAAAACCTACCATCAAAGACTCCGAGCTCGTTTACCATATTTCCACCACAATAAAATTACGCCGCACTGAGCCCCTTCGCCTTATACTTAAGCCTTGTGAATCCAAGTTTAGGCCCGACCATCTGGTTTGGGTTCTCATGAACATTAAGAATGACTACAAGCTGGTTTTGGACTTCTTTGATTGGGCATGCCTTCGGAGAGACCCCACATTACAAGCTCGTTGCATAGTTGTTCAAGTAGCTGTGGCTTCTGGGGATCTAAAAACAGCTCATGATCTTATTGGCGATGTTTGTTCAAAGCCCAATTTGGAGACCAGTATATGGTTAATTCGTTTCGTTGAGCAGTTAATATATACATACAAAGACTGGGGTTCTAATCCCCGCGTGTTCGACATATTCTTCCAAATCCTTGTTGAAGCCGGTTTTTTTGCCGAAGCAAGAAAATTCTTCCACAAGTTGTTGAATTACGGGGTGGTCATTTCAGTTGATTCTTGTAATTTATACCTCACTCGTCTTTCTCATGACGTGGACAGCCCTCAAATTTTAATGAAGGCATTCAAAGAGCTTGGTGATCTTGGTATTAGTTGGAATATCGAATCATTTAATATCTTAGTACATTCACTTTGTCGATTTCAAAAAATAAAAGAAGCTCACAGTTTACTCTGGCAAATGGAGTTGAGAGGCTGGTCACCGGATGTTGTAAGCTACAGTTCGATAATTAATGGTTATTGCCATGTTGGCGAACTTCAGATTGTGTTGAAGCTCATAGAGGAAATGCAAATAAGAGGCTTGAAGCCGAACCATTTTACCTACAGCAGTATAATTGTTCTTCTATGTAAGTCCGGAAAAATAGCTGAAGCTGAGCTGGTCTGTCAGGATATGATAAACAATGGAATGTATCCTGATAGTGTTGTTTATACAACTCTTATAGATGGATTCTGCAAGTTAGGAAATTTTGTTGCTGCTTTTAGTCTGTTTAGTGAAATGCATAGTCGGGGAGTTGCCCCTGATTTTGTGACATATACTGCTCTTATTTGTGGGTTTTGCCAGAGTGGAAAATTGGTGGAAGCAAATAAACTATTTGATGAGATGATTGACCGTGGCTTTAAACCCGATGAAGTTACCTACACCGCACTCATTGATGGTTATGGCAAGGCTGGTGAGATTGCAAAGGCATTTTCTCTTCACAACCAAATGGTAAAGATAGGGCTTACCCCAAACATAGTTACGTATACTGCCCTGGCTGATGGCCTTTGTAAACGTGGAGACATGGATTCAGCAAACGAGCTTCTTCATGAGATGCAGAGGAAAGGCCTTCAACTGAATCTTTGCACTTACAATGTTATTATTAATGGTCACTGTAAAGCAGGGAATATTGATCTAGCTGTGAGACTCATGGAAGATATGGAGTGTGCTGGGATTCATCCCGATACCATTACTTACACAACTTTAATGGATACCTATTGTAAACTCGGGGAGATGGCAAAAGCTCACGAGCTCCTTCGGAAAATGTTAGCTAAGGGTCTTCAACCTTCTGTTGTTACATTTAGTGTGCTGATGAATGGATTCTGTAATTCAGGAATGCTTGTGGATGGCGAACAGCTACTTAAATGGATGCTGGAAAAGGGTCTTAATCTGAATGCCGCCATTTACAATTCTCTGATGAAACAGTATTCCATTAGAAATAATATTCGCGCCACCACCGAGATCTACCGGTACATGTGTGCGAGAGGAGTTGTGCCTGATGGTAACACTTATAACATATTGGTACGGGGCCATTCTAAAGCGAGGAATATGAAGGAAGCATGGTTTTTGCATCGAGAAATGATTGGGAAGGGATTTATACCAACTGCTCCTTCATACAATGCACTTATTAAGGGACTCTTAAAAAAGAAGAAATTTTCTGAGGCCAGGCAGCTATTTGAAGAGATGAGAACACAGGGGCGGGTTGTAGACAGAGAGATCTACAATGCCTTTGTGGACATGATGTATGATGAGGGAAAAATGGGAAATATGCTTAACCTTTGTGATGAGGTGATAGAGAAATCTCTTTTGGATGTGGAAAAGAGTGGGGACTAATAATGTTGATTACTTGCTGCTGCCATGACATTTGGCAAATTCCAATTTGGTTTGATTGAGTTGGAGGGTTGATTCCAACCTTGGCAGGTAAAATCCTTCTCGGTCAATGTTGTGTGACCAATGGGAACTTGGGATGTGATTCATAAGAGATTTAAATGATAGGAGATGCATATAGGTTTTCTACTTAATCTATTTTCAGTTGTGATGAAACGTTTTTTGTCTTTGCCTGTTTTGTGAAACTCTAAAGTTTCGGTGAGAAGTCGATCAGGAGGGGCTATAAAAAGCTGGCACTTGAATCCTTGATGTCTCAGCAATTCAGCGAGTATGATTTTCAGATCATAAAAGGTGAGCCATTTGTCTTCATAATTATATGGCTGATTAATTCAACAGGAACATGTTGCGGGGCAACTAATAAAATTATTCCATTATTTCGCATAGTAAAACATGTGGGAGTTGCTTGTATTGATCTTATACGTTGGTTGGCTCCTAGTTAGGCAAATTAAGAACATTTAATAGAAAACTACTCAGCTAAACTTGTTCAACTCTCAGACGTTGTGGTCTTGATAGTATCTGCATAGAGCCGCAAATATGAGTACTTAGTCTAATATTGTTTGGGCAGTCTGAGTGAGAAGTTACCTATAGTATAGTTTTGGGTTTTTACCTTGCAATCCGCCTTCCATGAGACAGATGTCCCCAAAGATCAAGGGAAGAGTTTTTTCCCATCACTTCTTCCTGCACTACCTACGCATCATTGGTCCGTCCTCAGATTTGGTACACAAACGTATCGTAGTTTTGATTTTCTTTCGCATTGACAAGAATATGTGCATCCCCTTTGACTGACTTATAGTTGTTGATGTATGTCAATTCTTTTTTTCCCCACAACAATTAAAAAGCAATTCCACAGTTTCCTTTAAATGCTTGGTAACTCTGTTTTTGTTTGTCCATCTTTTCAGTTGTGTGCATTTAAGGTTCTTGCACAAGTTTTTCAGTGGCATATAGATATCGTTAAGTAACTTCAGCTATACATTGATTCATTGTGTGTTTTTCATTTCCCCCTTTGATTATTTACACAGTGCACCATCTTGGGGATCTATTGCAATGTCGATCTCCTTTGTATAATATAAGAGTACTCCAAATATACTTTCATTGCGTGACACAATACTTCTCTATGGACTATAGTTGGATAAATTTATTCCCATGATCTGCTGTGGAGACCTTCTCTTGCACTCACTACCGCTTGAGGCAGCTTCCAATTTCCCGTTACTACCTCTTGAGGCAGCTTTGAATACCCAGATTGAATCACTGGGTATCCGCCACGGGAACGAGCTGCCATCTCCAGTGGACCCACTAGCAATAATGTGTGCTGTCACAAACTCAAATGCTTTAATATGCTTGGCAGCCTGACGAGAGAATTATTGGTCCTGGCCCGAAAGCTTTGCCCGTCGGGTAGTGGTATGCTGTCTCCCAATCCCCAAATACAGGTTTTGCTGTTGCTATTCTTATTACTGCATGAATAATTTTACCAATTGCTTTCTCTTTTCTTGTGACATCTTCATCTAGATCGTAGAGAGGAGGCCACTTGCCAGCTCTTCGTGGTTTGGGACTAACATTGTCGCAGCAGGAGGGTCGATCAGCTAGTTCACCCACCATGACCAGAGCATAACACCAAGAAGCTTCTGGGTTAGAAGTGGTCGTCCTTCAGGCCAACACTCTAATTAAGGAACGACAATATCTTTCATTCTTGGGACGGGGCGATGGCCTATTCCAAGTCATGTGCTCAGTTGATGAACAGCCCTGAAGATTTACATGGGCACTGTCAAAAAGTGCCATCGCTCGGTCCCCGTTCTTCTCTTTTGCTTTCCAAACTTTGTTTACATCGGAACTGTCGGAACGGTGAATTATGTAAGAGGATCGTGCTGATGATGTGTTTCACAACTTTTGATTAAAGAAAGTATACGGCACCTTCCCGTGCTTTTCAAATGCTTTCTTTGCTTAACTTTCTGTGTTGATAGATTGTTCCACAAATTGGTGATGACGAAGGCTCCATGCGCACGGTGATCTTCGAGGGGTAAAAGGATTTCTGGCTGGTTTAGGTGGCCGGAAATGTCTCGATCTTGACAAGATGAGTTATGTTGCTTACATGTATTAAGCAACGAAAAAGATATGTATCTTTAAAATTAGATATCCAAATTGTGTGAACATTATAATTTGGGGAAAATGATACAAACAGTCCATAAATTTTGACGTAACGTGTAATGTGGTCATTAAACTTTTAATTTGTTTAATACGGTCCTTAAATTTTAGCCTAATGTGTAATGTGATCTCTGGACTTTTAATTTGTTTAACGCGATCTCTCGATTTTTTGTACATGTTTAATATAGTCCCTGATCTGTATAAAATTTTGGGAAAATTTCAATTAAGGACCCAAAGTGGGTCTCTTTTCTCGAAAAAGGACCCCAAATGGACAATGTCTCAATTAAGGACCCAAAGTGCCCAAACCAGTCTCAAATAAGGACCCCAGCTTGCCGACCGACGAGCGTGAGAAATTTCCAACGCCAGAATAAGGACAATTTTGTCTTTTTCTTTTTTTTTTCCTTTCTTTTTTTTTCTTTTTCCTTTTTTCTTTTTCTCTCTTTCCTCTTGTGGCCATCACCGGCGACGTCCGCTTGCCTTAGGCGAGGGCCGCCTTCGCCGGCGTCGGGCGATGGTCGCCTTCACCGGCGTTGGGCAACGGCTGCCCTCGCCCTCGCCCTCGCTAGCCCAGGCGAGGGCGGCTCTCACCCGCCCATATCCGGCAAGGGCTGCCCTTGGCCTCACCAGCCCAAGCGAGGGTTGCCCTCGCTGGCGTCAGGCGAGGGTGACTCTCGCCGGCATTGGGCGAGGGCTGCCGTCGCCCGACGCCAGCGAAGGCGGCCCTCGCCTGAGGCTGGCGGACGTCGCCAGCAATGACCACAAGAGGGAAGAGAGAAAAAGAAAAAAGGAAGAAGAAAAAGATAAAAAAAGAAGAAGAAAAAGACAAAATTGCTCCTATTTCGACGCTGGAAATGTCTCACACTCGCTGGCTGATGAACATTTGGCCGCCCCGCGAGCTGGGGTCTTTATTTGAGACTGGTTTGAGCACTTTGGGTCCTTAATTGAGACATTGTCTACCTGGAATCCTTTTTTGAGAAAAGAGACCCACTTTGTGTTCTTAATTGAAATTTTCTCTAAAATTTTGAATGTAGTCAAGGATCATGTTAAACAAATTAAAAGTTTATGGATTATATTGAATATTAGACTAAAGTTCAGAGATGATATTGAATAAATTAAATGTTTATGGACTAAATAGTATATTGAATCAAAGTTTAAGGCCGTTTATGTTAGAGTTAATACCACGAAAAATCCTAAACTGGTACACTTGTGACACATTTACCCAAAACTTTTTTTGACCATAAAAAACCCCGAACTGGTACACCTGTGACAATTTTACCCCGAACATACCACGAAAAACCCAAAACTGGTACACATGTGACAATTTTACCCCGAACTAATTTTTAATATTATTTTTTGAATTTTTTCTTTTCTTTTCTTTTCTTTTTTTTTTCTTCACCTTCAACCTTTGGCCGGTCGCCGGCGTAGGGCGGCCCTCGCCTGTGTCGGGCGAGGGTGGCCCTTGCTCGACGTAGGCGAGGGCGGCTCTCGCCCTCGCTCGACGCAAGCGAGGGCTGTCCTCGCCCGACTCAGGCGAGGGCCGCCCTCACCTGAGTTGGGCGAGGACAGCTCTCGCCTGCGTCGGGCGAGGGCCGCCCTCGCCGGCTTCCGCCTCTGGCCGGTCGCCAGACCGGCCAGAGGTTGAAGATGAAAAAAATAAAATAAATAAATAAATAAAAATTCGAAAAAAATAAAAATAAAAATATTAAAATTTTAATTCAGGGTAAAATTGTCACATATGTACCAGTTTGGGGTTTTTTGTGGTAAGTTCAGGGTAAAATTATCACAGGTGTACCAGTTTGGGGTTTTTGATGGTCAAAAAAATAATTCAGGATAAAATTGTCATAGGTGTACCAGTTCGAGGTTTTTTATGGTCAAAAAAATAATTTGGGGTAAATATGTTATAAGTGTACTAGTTTAGGGTTTTTCGTGGTATTAACCCTTTATGTTATTATCCTTAGAATTTGCACGCGCAATTGGCCCGGCCCGACGGAGGCCTAGTAACGGGGTAGAGCCCGCCCGGGCCGAGCTCGTTGGTGGTCTGATTCCTGAAGAACAGGCGGAGAGACGACGAAGAGGTTGGCTTCGATTCGACAGCCTTCATCTTCTTCGTCTCGTGACTCATACGTTTGATTCCTCGTCGCTGTTTGGTTTGGTAAGTATCTCATGGAGCGTGCGACTGATTCTTCAGCTTCGGGCGCTGCTGACGAAGAAGAAGAAGAAAAAGAAGAGCAGGTGATGAGTGAAGTGCACATAGGTTGCCCTCCATACTCCTCGGGGCCCCACCTCTCCAGCTTCACCATCTCCGCTCCGCCTGGTAATGTCCCTGAACCCACGCCCCTCCTTTCGTTCCCAGCAAACCGATTCGCAGAAACGTGTCGGCGAATTTTTGAACAAGAGCGGATGAATTTGCAGGACACCGAGGAATCGTACTCGACCAGGATGGCGATCTCGTTGTAACAAGGCGAGACCGTGAGTATTCTTTAATTATCTCCTTCTACACCGATGTCTAAACTATCCGTGCATTTGAGTTTGCTTTAAATTCGCAAGCATTCCTATGTAGTCAGTCATGAGAGTTGACACAACTCGTGGTTATCATACAATGTCTCCATTGGTTTGCTTTTGAATCCTCTTTTCCTTACGAAATGGTGATAACCGGGCATTTCCCAACATGCAGAACCATCTTCACATTGTTTTAGTGTGATCATACAGCATAATATCACATCTTCTATCCCAAATGTCGGGTTGCAGGTATTAGTTACGTTTGTAATCTTCTCTTTCGGTATCCTGTGAACCACTTAACATTGGAAGACTTTTTTTTTTTTCCCATTTGTTCAGGTATGGAAAGCTGAGCTAGCATTATCTGATTTTGTGTTGCATACCGTGTCCACTTCTTCTGACTTTGATAGGGTCGTTGCGTTGGAGCTTGGTGCTGGAACAGGTATGTTAGTTTCTGCTGCTTGCTTGAATATTACAGGTGATACTGTTCCAAAAAACTAAACTTACTTTACAATTGCTTAGTTTTCTCAAGCGGTGAAGTACCATGAGGAAGTGTCCAAGTAATTTAGAGGATCAAAATTGGTGAATGGAGGATGAGGAGATTGACTGTTATGAATGTACTGTTATGGGTGTCTTCTTCTTGCGAGCATAATATCTTAGGCGTAATACGAATTGCCACATTCTGGATGGTCAGGATTACCTTTTATTGATCACTGTCATTACATGTACTTACATCCACTATTTAAACAGAGAGGGGTGGATAATCTATTGAATGTAGCATTCCTGTCTTTTTGAAACTTTGGCAAGTTTAGTCTTTTAAAAGTGCTTCCAGTTGAATTCCCAGGTGAACAGTCTAGAGGTGTAAGGATTACTGATGAAACTTTACGGAGAATCTTATCCATTTTCCGTGGGTGTTCACAGCTAGTACTGCTTTAATTCTTCAGCGACTTCATTTCATCTGCTGAAGTTTATCGGCATTACTTTTATGACAGTCTTCGTTTCAATTTTTGTGCCAGGGTTGGTTGGCATATTGCTCTCCCGTCTAGCTAAGACGGTATTTCTCACAGGTTGGAATATTGGACTCGAATCTAACCATAATATTTTCTTTTGGCACATACAACCATGTGTTGCTGGCAACTTTCCTCTTTGAAATATATATAGGTTCATGCGTACAGCTCCTTGGCTGATTCATTTATTTGAGGGCAGTCTTGATATATTAATATCGGCCAAAAATTTTTGCAGGAAAACATTACAAGAAAAACAATCTTGGCAATTAGAACAATTCGTAGAATGTGTTATTTCTTAAGGTTGCTTTTGACTCCCCATGCCATACATTAATATCATTAGGCAATCTAGTGTATTCGCAACTCATTCTCTCTTTTTACTCTAAGAATAGTCTCTTTGAGTGTTGGCAGATCATGGATATGAAATCCTTAACAATTGTGTGAAGAATGCTGAGCTTAATGATGGAGTCCTGAACTATAAGGCTACTGTTCATGTGCGTGAGCTCAACTGGATGAATTATTGGCCTCCTAATGTGTGCACAGAAGTTTCTGAGTCACAAGCGAGGTAAACGTGATCTTTAGTTGATAACTAGAAGCTTTCGGTAATTGACACCGGCATATACAGACATGCACGGACTTGTTTGTACATTTAATTGATGCCTTGCAACAATTGTAGACTTAACTCACTGGTTGAGTAATGCGGTAACCTTTTAGGTACTCTTGGACATCCTCAGAAGTGGAAGAAGCTGAAACCTCTTCTTTACTTTTAGCTGCTGATGTCATCTACAGCGATGATCTAACCGACGCATTATTCTGTACCTTACAAAGACTAATGTCGCGAGGATCAGAAAAGGTATCTAGCATATATATGACTTAACTTAATGAGGATATATGATGTGGAGGGGAAGTGGTAACCTCAATTTGTTGGTAGGCAGAGTTTGATGCGGAACTTGTCTCACAGTCTTAAAGTCATATCAAATGGTTGGTAATTTTTGTGTTTGCAAAATGGTTAGGAAATTTAAAATGCTACTTCCTCCTTTTCAGGTACTATACTTGGCTTTGGAAAAGCGTTATAACTTCAGTCTCGATGATCTAGATGTAGTTGCGAATGGTTACTCCCACTTCTTAAGTTATGTGAGGATTGAAGAAGGTAAGCATCTCAAACATGTGGATGGATTGACTGACGTGTTGTTGAAGTAACTGGAAAACTGTTTCAGCATTATTTCTTTGCCCTGACTTTCTCATTATCCGAGATTCCTTTTGGTGAGAAATGAACTGTTTCCTGTTTTGCTAGATGTTGCAGGATGCGAGTTCAATGATTGCAATTCATCGCCTGGTTTTGTCGGCAAATGTGTTGATCTAACTCAACTTCCACAATACGTTCTAAACTATGACCGAGGAAATGACGTCGAGATATGGAAGATCAGGTACAACAGAGGATGAAACCATCGAGCCCAAACCTTCGATCGAGCCGGAGACGCTATTGCTATAAGAAACCGGTCGCTATTCAACTTCTGATCTCACCAGTTTTGCCACAGAAAAGTCCAGAGAGAGCTTCAGTCATCTGCCTTCACAATGCCGGGTTTGCCTTCTTTTTCACCGATTTGCTCCAAATTAACGGCAGCGGTCATCCTCAGCTTTCCGAGGCGCACCAACATAGGGGGATTGTGCCGGAAGAAAGGCCATCACAGGCATTCCCCCTTGAACATAGGAGCGACAATCTTTGGAGAACCTAGACATAATAAGTCAGGAAGTAGATACATTTGCACCGAGTCATATGTACTTTCATTTAAATTTAGCATATGGGTGGAAGATGTTACACTTTTTGGCCACGCTTGATGGATTGAAGAAAGCCCCGTGCGAGCTCTTTCGATTTCGAAAGAAAAGGTAGTGTGAACTGCTTCCAGTAAGTGCCTAATCAACGCTCATGATGGATGCATGATAACAACCGTTAGATTGTGCAAGGGAGACCGTCGGACTTTCTGTTTTGAACGCTAGTTTTTACCTTTTCCTTTTTCACATGAGAGAGAGAGAGAGAGAGACCACCTTGTTCAAAGAAGAACTTTCTGGAACAACCAAACACCCTCGACCACGACTCTCGACCCAAGACGACACCAAGGGTCTAGTCTCCCTAATTAATAATGACAGAATGGCATCACCTTGTAGGCCCTCTACTTTTGTTCGGAGTTTAAAATTGTTCCTCTCTACATTTTTTGTTTTTCTCGTATATGATCCTCGTACCGTAGAAAAATTTCAAATAAAAACCTAAAATGAAATCGTCAGCAGTCCTTGATGTTGCTACTATTTTAGGCTTACATCCTCTGTGTGAAAGTTAGGTCCTTATTTGAAACTAAATTGATCGGATCCTTATTTGAAACTTTCCTCTCTGGTTTTTACGAAGCGTGACATTTTTGTGTTTCAATTAAATTTAGCAGTTGGAGTGCTAAATCCACATTCTAGAAGTTACTATAACAAAATAAAAAATATTAAAAAATCAATAAAAAGTAAAAAGAAAAAAAAATCGGGAATCACTGGTCATAGGACGTTCTGATCCTGCCCACTCGTCGGTGTATACCACCGTCAGGGTCACCTATTCACGGTGGCCACTGTGGTGGTGGTGTAGGTTGCCAAGTATCTATCATGGTGGTCACGTGAGACCATCACAGCAGAGAAAGAGCAAATTTGGATCTCGATCTCATTATGAGGTAGCTATATATTACCAAAGGTGATTATAGGCGATACATCGCGACACTGATTATATCCTAATAACAAGCGTGCAAAATAGGAAAATGGGTACCGCCATAATGGGGGTTGGGCGAGGGGTGCGACCACTACACAGTGGCTGTGGTCGACGCCAATGATGGCGTCTTGCTGGCCTCGTCTAGGGCATGCAAGACGCAGCTTGATTTACTTTTTTTTTCTTTTTCCGTTCAAACAGAGACTTAAAAAATCGAAAAAAAAATGTGCAAAAAACAAAAGTTCGGGAATGATTTTAAATTTCGAGTAAAAGTAGAGAGATCATTTGTGCCTTTTGCACTAAAAAAAAAATCGAATTAATATAGCAAAATGAAATAAATTAGAAAGAAAAAAAAGTTACATAATAAGAAACAAAAGGCGCGCTCTAGCTCGAGCACACAGGAAAATTCCACACGAACCCCTCCCTCCCTCCCTCCCTCCCGTCTTCACGTCTCCGTGTCCCCCCAACCTTCCTTTACATAAAAAGCCCACCTTTGTTTTGGAGAATTCCAGACCCTCTCCTGCTCCACCGTCGTCGCCCGCAGCCCTCCTCCGCCGCCCTTCCCGATCTCCTCCTCCGCCGCCGCCGCCGTCGTCTTCAGGTGAGATTCCCTAATGCCCTCCCGCCGTTCCATCTCGGCGCGACGCCGTTTCTCGGCGCTCGGGACCCCTCGCGTTCCCCGTTACCGTCCTAGCTTTTCCGCGCAGATCTGTTGTGGCCCCTCGTCCTATCCGCGCGCCGCATTTCCCTCGCGATTCTCTTGCGTTTATCTGCTTAGCCTGGCCTCGGATTCGCTCGCCTTCCCTTCCTTGTTGACGTGCTTGGGTTTCCTTTGCGAAAGCATCGCGCGTCGAGTGCTCGTGGGTTGTTGGATTCGGTGAATGTTTGGGGGGGATTCGTTCGTGATTCGTGGAGGCCTTGCATGGGTCGCGGGAGAGAACTGATTTTGCTCGGGCGTTTTGGTAGCTCCGCGTTGTTGGAATTTGCTTTGTGGCTCTGATTTTGGTACGGCGGCTCGGGTGGGTTTATCAAAGTACTTGCAGATTTGTGATGATTGAGGTTCTCCAATCCGTGGGGGAGTTTGTGCCGGTTTAATTGTCCTGCGTGGTTGACTTTTTAGATGTTTTGCATTTTGTGTCGGATGTGTAATTCGACCGAGTGGATTGTTTCCCGACTCTTGGCTTGCCTATCTGAAATTGTTTGGCTTTGACCCGTAAATTTGTGCTTGAGTTTTTCTTGTTGGATGCTGCACTATTCGTTTTGATGGGTCTGCTGCTCGATTTTGTACTTAATTAACAGATCAGTTCGCTTCTGTGTTAGTATTTACCAGGCGGTCGACACTTTTTTACTGCACCCATTCGGCGTATTTATCGCCCGAATTTGTCTGCCAAGCTAAAGATGAGTGTGGTTGGATTTGACTTTGGGAACGAGAGTTGCATTGTCGCCGTTGCAAGGCAAAGGGGGATCGATGTTGTGCTCAATGACGAGTCCAAACGTGAGACTCCTGCAATTGTTTGCTTTGGGGAGAAGCAGCGGTTTATTGGGACCGCAGGAGCTGCTTCTACTATGATGAACCCCAAAAATTCTATTTCCCAGATAAAGCGATTGATTGGACGGAAATTTTCAGATCCCGAACTGCAGAGGGATCTGCAGTTATTGCCTTTCCAAGTCACTGAGGGCCCCGAGGGTTATCCTTTGATACAAGCAAGGTATCTCGGAGAAGCAAGGACATTCACACCTACCCAAGTACTGGGTATGATGTTCTCGAATCTCAAGGATATTGCTGAGAAGAATTTAAATGCGGCAGTGGTGGATTGTTGCATTGGGATTCCGGTTTACTTTACGGACCTCCAGAGAAGAGCAGTCCTTGATGCTGCTACTATTGCAGGCTTACACCCTCTTCAGTTAATACATGAGACCACCGCAACTGCCCTGGCTTATGGTATCTACAAGACCGATTTGCCTGAAAGTGACCCGCTTAATGTTGCGTTTGTTGATATCGGTCATGCAAGCATGCAAGTCTGCATTGCAGGCTTCAAGAAAGGACAGTTAAAAGTCCTTGCTCACTCTTATGATCGGTCATTGGGCGGCAGAGATTTTGATGAGGTTTTGTTCCACCATTTTGCTGCGAAATTTAAGGAGCAATACAAGATCGATGTTTTCCAGAATGCTAGAGCTTGTCTTCGGCTTAGGGCTGGCTGTGAGAAGATCAAGAAAGTTCTCAGTGCAAATCCGGAGGCGCCTCTAAATGTTGAGTGCTTGATGGATGACAAGGATGTCAGAGGGCATATCAAGAGGGATGAGTTTGAACAGATCAGTGCCCCAATTTTGGAGCGAGTGAAAGGACCTCTGCAGAAGGCTCTTGCAGAAGCTGGTCTTGCAGTCGAGAATGTACATATGGTTGAGGTCATCGGTTCTGGATCTCGTGTTCCTGCTATCATTAGGATTTTGACGGAATTTTTCGGGAAGGAGCCTAGGCGAACAATGAATGCGAGCGAGTGTGTTGCCAGGGGGTGTGCTTTGCAGTGTGCAATCCTTAGCCCGACCTTCAAAGTGCGAGAATTCCAGGTAAGCATTGTCTGACTTCTGTGATGCCTTAAAAATTTTCCATATGTTGGATAGCATCGTCTATAGTCACAAATGCATGGGTCTCCCAATTTTCCCCTCTGACTATGCCCATCTGGCATGGGTAAAAGGCTCTGGTTATCCTATTTTTCTGCTGTGATACCTGATACGAGTATTCAGTTGCATTAACCTTGCCTTCTGTTGTATCTCTACATTTTGTTCTATCTCTATCCTGGCGGCAGAGCTGTCATAACCTTAAGTTGTATAGCAAGAGTCTCGTGTTGCTCTAGTTTGGCTATTAGACGTTTCTACTTGGATGGTTGGCGTGACAATTGCAAGCATCTGGGAGTGATATGTAATCTGGAAAATGGCACATCCATGACGATTGGCTCTTTCTTCTTCTATTGCAGAACGTATTTTAATCACTTGTTCTTCTTTTCTTAACTTATGTTTTTACTTATAAGGTCCACGAAAGCTTTCCATCTTCTGTTGGCTTGTCATGGAAAAGTTCTGTACCAGAAAGTCAGGATGGGGCTGCAGAAAATCACCAAACAACCATTGTCTTCCCCAAAGGAAATGCAATGCCTAGTATCAAGGCTTTAACATTCTACAGATCGGGAACATTTGCTGTTGATGTCCACTACACTGATGGCAGTGAACTACAAGCTTCTTCTAAGATCAGCTCATACACGGTATATTAGAAAGCAGAGAAAATGTCTTTTCTTGGCTTCTCTAGGGATAGAATTTCCTTCATTAACTTGTTAGCTTCTCCTATCTGTAATGTGTAGATTGGCCCTTTCCAATGTGCGAAAAGTGAACGAGCAAAACTGAAGGTCAAAGTCCGATTAAATCTCCATGGAATCGTGTCTATTGAATCCGCAACAGTAAGTATTGCAAGAATTTGCATTTAATGTTGAAGTTGGTCCAGAATAATTTGACTTTTCATCTTTTTATTCGATGCTGCAGCTCTTGGAAGAAGAGGAAGTTGAACTTCCAGTCACGAAGGATGTGGTAGCACAAGAAACGAACAAGATGGATACTGATGAAACCTCTAATGCTGCTGCTCCCCCTACTTCTGGTGAGGCTGATGTTAACATGCAAGATGCAAAGGGAACTGATGCTTCTGGTGTAGAAAATGGTGTCCCCGAGACAGGAGAGAAGCCTGTGCAGATGGAAACTGATAGCAAGGTCAGTTGTCCCTGCTGGTGCGAGTTATCCATTCTCTTTATATCAGTGGATTTCCGCATGTGTGGGCCATCTCTTTTTCGACTGTGATTTGGTTAATATATATTCTTTGTTGTTGGTGCTTTTTTGTCCTCTTATTCAAAATAACACTATAACATCATGTGGATGTGTTGTAAAATTAGGGTTGCATCCAGAATCAGAGGTCTGATGAGGGTTTCTGTCAATTGTCAGGCTTTTAGTTTATATGTCTTTGTGATTTAGGATGGTGATTGACAAACCTTTTGGTTTGGCATTGTAGTTATTGTGTTCTTTCGATATTGAGTGCATTGGCGTAATAGGAGCCGGCCCCATGTAGTGGGATGAGCCTTCGTTTGCTATTGTTGTAATGTCTTGCATTATAGTCTTGAAAGTGGACTTAATAAGTTTTTCACTATGTGATGTGGGCTTTTTAATAATGGCTTGTAGAGCTTGAAAACATGGAATTTTGACTTTTGTTTCTGTGCAAGAATATTGGGATTAGTGGGCTACAGTGACCTTGCTTTTCTTATTTTTCACGAATTTGGTTTTCTATTCGCAGACTGAGGCTCCAAAGAAGAAGGTAAAGAAAACAAATGTTCATGTGACTGAGCTGGTATATGGTGCATTGTTATCGGGAGACTTGCAGAAGGCAGTTGAGAAGGAATTCGAGATGGCCTTGCAAGATCGTGTCATGGAAGAGACAAAAGACAAGAAAAATGCTGTGGAAGCTTATGTGTATGATATGAGGAACAAGGTACAGAGCTACTGATTCTCCGTTGTAGATTGGTTTTGCTGAACTCGAAACATAACTTGTGCTTCATTCTTTCTTTTTCTTTTTATTTTTTGGAATGTCAGCTGAACGACAAGTACCACGACTTTGTCATGGATCCAGAAAGAGAGCAGCTCATGTCTACACTTCAGGAGGTGGAGGACTGGTTATATGAGGATGGTGAAGATGAAACAAAAGGTGTCTATGTTGCCAAGCTTGAGGAACTGAAGAAGGTAACGAATTGTTTCTGTTCTTTGTTATAGGCAATAGCTCTGCTTTCTTACCATGTCGTGTAACTTGCAGCAAGGTGATCCGATAGAAGAGCGTTACAAGGAACACACAGAAAGAGGATCAGTGATAGATCAACTTGTTTATTGTATAAATAGCTATAGAGAAGCAGCGGTTTCGAATGATTCAAAATTTGATCACATCGATGTCTCTGAGAAGCAGAAGGTAGAGAAAATATACTTACTCAAGCAGCTGTCTGTCGAGAGAAATCTTGAACAAATTACTTAATACATTCTTATTTTTCATTTCAGGTCTTGAACGAATGTGTCGAGGCAGAAGCCTGGCTAAGAGACAAACGGCAGCAACAGGATTCTCTTCCCAAATATGCCCCTCCAGTTCTTTTGTCAGCTGAAATGAGGAAGAAAGCAGAGTCTGTGGACAGGTACCCTGTTCTCTCCTTTCACGATAGCATCGTGATGCTCCTTTTCTTAGATGTGGTAGCTTGTGGATTCCCAGTATTCTTCGCAAGGGAAGATGTTCAACTGGGCAGTTCTCAGAGCAAAGCCAGAAACATCATCGAGAAGAAAGTTTTAACATCTTGTCTAACCCATCCTGGATTTCTAATTGAAACAGTGTAGCAGAAATAAACTAGCATAATAGGAGAAAAAGAGACTTATTAATGTGCACACTTATGGTTCAGTTTGACAGAAACTGTACGATAAGATCCCGAGATGGAATAACATTGGAAAAAAGCAACAATCCGCAATATTTGAAGGCTTTAGTGACATTGGTTTGGGTTGTTATTGTCATGAGTTGCCTTGTTATTCTTTATGGCAGACAGAAAACTTGTTCCTCATATTGTTGAAAAGGAAGTTCCAGTGATCTCCTGCCCAAGTTATTCAACTAGCGAATTGAGTTTCAGGAAATTTTATATATCTTTTACTTCTGTGTTGATGATAGTGTTTGTTTATTTTGCTCTTAGTTTCTCTAGACATGAAAGTGACAGAAAATCGTTGATACTCAACTAGATGGGGCCACAAATCTTGAAATGGTCCTTGTAAAGACAATCTAAGCCATTAATAAGATAGACTTAATGGAACTTGCATGTTCTGGCCAACTGGTCATTGCAGTAACTGGTGGTGTTGTTGCGCACGTGATTTCCTCTCTCCATTTTTTATTTCCTTAATTCTAGATCACACTACAGACTAAGATTTGCTTCAATAGGTTTTGCCGGCCAATAATGATGAAACCAAAGCCCGCCAAGCCTGTTGCTCCTGAGACTCCTCCTCGGCCTGCTCAGGGTGAGCAGCAACCTCGAGGCGATGTCAACACCGATGCTAATGCAAGTGCTGATACTGATGCTGGAACTGGTGATGTTCCGCCTGCTTCAGGGGAGCCGATGGAAACGGACAAGTCCGAGGCACCTCCATCTGCTTCTTAGAGTTGCTTGATGTAGCAGCACAACAGGTGTTAGTGGATTGTGTAAGAATTCTCTCGTTTGAACCTCAGAACCTCCAGCTGGTGTAGGGTGGAGAGGTTATATGAAGCCTCATTTATAATTATTTGTACCTGTAAAGCCTTTTCTGAGAATTTTGTCAGAAGGGTGGTCTCCAAAATCCTATTTTTTTGCAGGGTTTCTTATAGACGAAGTTATGGATTCTCTCCCTACTGATTTTCACTTTCCTTTCTCGGTATGGCTGATGCGTTGTGGCATCTGTACTGTTACTTGTTACTGGATTTTGTTAATGTTAAGATCCAATTTTGCACTCAGTTTGAATGATTGCTTCCGCAAGGTATGAGTTCTTGGACCGGCATGTGTAACGGCGCATGCTTGTCGAAAATGCAGATGGTTTTGTAGCATTGCGCAACTCAGCATTTTATTTAAACCCAGCTTTCTTGAAATCCCACTTTTTCATCTGCGATGTCCTGCGGCAGCTGGCTAGGTCGAAGAAGCTATATAACCTTGTTATATTGTTACGTGGGGTGGAGATTGTTGGTTGATTTGAAGAATCAATTGGAACTTACGTGGGATTCATGAAATGCAAGTGCTCCCAGAGACTAGGAAATGCTAGTGCCCACAGTGACAGCATTGCGCTTTGATTGTGTGATCTGTGCTCAAGTGATCCATCTCTAATCTGCATGGGAACGAGAGATTTTTTTTATTTAGGCTGCAGCAATTCACATGTCCCCGTAGACAAAATTGCCAAAAGGAAAAGGAAAAGGCAAGAAAAGTCGGCTAATCAATCAACACGTACTAGCTACACGGCCTGTTTCTGTTGGCGACACCCTGATCTTACTCAAACTTCCATACTAGCTTCTCCATGATGACTGAAGAAAATAGGTTGAGCTGAGGAAGATCAGGTACGACAGAGGACGAAACCATCTTAGCCCGAGCCCGGCAGAGCCAGAGTTGCTATTGCCGCATGAACCCAATGCCCCCTTTAACTGCTGATTCTCATCAGGCTTTGCCACAGAGAAGTTCAGAGTGCTTCAGTTACCCGACTTTGCAATCTCGGGTTAGCCTTATTTTTCTCCTGTCCGCCCGTGATTATTCGGCAGGGGGTCAACCTCCTCTGCTTTCTAAGATGCGAGGACAGCGAGGGGATTGTACCAGGTGAAAAGGCAATCACAGGGCATTCCCGTGAACATGAAGCTACGACATTTTGGAGAATCTAGTGCTCGCTTTTATCAGCCGAAGGAACAGGAATAATCTTTCTTTCTGCTTTTTTGCCTTCTCTTTTGCCATCCCAATCCTGGTGGATTCACCAGAGGAGGGCTTCATGGTTACATCTCTCGTCTGTCTCGGACAACCCATGATGACAATGAGCAAAATGCCTTCCAGCCATTCATGTTCAAAGCCAAGAATCTTTTCGTGGTCGGGCCCCAAAGCCACTTTAAAGCCAGCCACAGCACAAAAGAGAAGGGAGAAGAGTGAGAGAAGTAGATGCGAGAGTGGCTCAGAAAAGATGATTTGAGCTGGCAATTGGGAATCTTTTAGATTTTGCAGTTCATTAAGATCGTCGAGCAAAACAATATTCAAATCGCATTCAATTTGCCATATTCCATTTTGGTTAGTGGGTGTGCAAATTGGCTTATCTTCATGCAAAGCGAGGAAAAAAAAAATTCCTAATTCCTATCTCAATCTCAATCTCACAGAATTGACACAAGAGTGCGGTTGAACAAGTTCTGTACATATATTCGTCACGCTCCCTCTTTTCGAAACTTCCGGCCAAACACCATTTTTCGGTCTGATCCAACTGTCCTCGCAAACAACGGCCATGCACGCGCACGGGTCCGACAGAGCAGAAAACGAACCCGGGAAAATTCGAATTTTCTTCATTTGTTTCTCGAGCATAGAATGTGGACAGCATCGAGGAAAAAATCGCATAGAAAAATCGGGGATGGTTTGAGATGAAGTGGGTTGCAGGCTTAGACTTCGTACAAGCATTCATTATTCACGGTCGACCCCTCAAGAAAAGAAGACAGCAAGCCATTAATTTGCTGAGGTGACTGATGACGATGGTCAGTAAGAACCTGGCCATCATCAAAGGACGTTGAAGAAAGTATGGAACGACGTTTTGAAGAGGCGTGCAATGATGACGACGATGCTTGTGCGAAAGCGATGTCCCGTGACTTAAAAACAATGTAACTTTTCCTATGGAGTAAATGGTGGTTGAGACTGTGTAGCATTCGCCCAAAGATTTGTTTACGTCTTCGAGCAACTTCTGAGAAATTACGCTGACTGGGAAAGTCTTGTGTTGGTTGGCCAGAAAGCTAGTCATTGTAAGCTTCCGTTTGGCACGTGAGAAGGAATGAGACGGGTCAAATAAAGGGAACCGGAATGAGTTACAATGACATTGAAATGGGAATTGATTTAAAAATTTTAGTGTTACGTGACGCGTCGGGATTGGACGTGCGCGTGTTCTTTCTGATGGGTTTGTCTTTCGTAGTTTCGAGTTGTCGTGTAGGGAAAATTGCATCGACTGTCCCGAATGTCTCGATGTGCAATCGAGGCTTACACGTTCGAGGAAGTGCGATGAGGTCGTGCGCATTTTGGAAAATCATCGCAATTGAGTTCTTTTGGGCGACCGCTTTAACCGATTCGATTCGATTGATTTTTTGGGCAATGAGAAAAATTGAAAAAGCCAAAAACTTTAAAAAAAAAAAATTTAGCTAACGCCCGAATGGAGAGAGAATGGGAGTCGATGGAGGGCGGCGCCGCCCCAACCTTCAAACCGACGGGGCCGCTTTCTCTGATTTGGTCTTTTGTGATCTCTTTTTTTTTTTTCTTTTTAATTCTTGGCTTACTTTGTGCACTTCTTTTCAAATAAAAACACAGGAAAATTACATAAATATTATTTGAATTTTGGCCCAACGTACAATATCGCCGTTGAATTTTTAATTGCTTAATATAGTTCCTAAACTTTAACCCAATGTGCATTTATTTTGTATTTTCCCTGAACTTTTGGTATATATTCAATTCGATCTCTAAAGTATATGAAAATATCCAATGTTATCTTTCCATTAGTTCAAATTTTAAGTTGAGATAATATTGAACATTTTGATGTAGTCTAGTGACCAAAATTGAACATGTATTAAAACTTTTCAAAGATCATATTGAATAAATTAGTACAAGGACGATATTTTACGTTGGGCCAAAATTCAAGAACTATTTGCGTCATTTTCCCTAAAATCGTCGGTCATTTTTTGACACAGCGCCACATCAACTTTGCATATGCTCAAAAAATATAAAAAAGACTCTACATCGATGCTGGCGTGCCACACCAATGAAATCGGTAGCAGAAAAGACTCCATTGCACCGGATTCAAAACGTTGAGGACTTGATTGTACGTTTTTTGAAATGTAGAGGACTTTATCAAACTTTGGGCACCATTAAACAATATCCAAAAAATCGAATTTTCACAATTTAGAGAATGTACATCTGTTTCCTCATATAAAAGGAGATAGTTTATGACCAAAATTTGTTCCACTGGAACAATAACAAGTACCTAATCCTCCAGAGAATGGTTTTTTTTTTTTTTGTCAAAAGAGATTTCCATTCATTACTACAATGATACATGAAACGATCATGGGAAATGTCAAAAATCACAATAACAAGTCGACCTTGTAAACTCCAAAACAAATCAAAAACCAGAAATGAAGATATATCATCGGAGCATGGTCGAGAAAGATAATCGCATGCTCGTCTTTCAATACCGATTTGCGATCGCATCTGAGCGAAAAGATCGACGGCCGATCAATGAATCGCACATCTTCATCAGTGATGAGCACACGCTAAGATATCTATCTGCAGTTACGATTTTGCCTTTCGACGGTGCGCGCCAAAGATTCGGCGTTCCCAACACTATCACCGTACGGAGACGACATAAACATGTCGAATAAGCTCAGATCCGACACCCGTGCGACACAAGCCCTTTAGCAAGTGCAAGACAATAAAAGCTTTTAACAAAAAAACGCGTTGACACCAAAGTTGCTGCGAACGCCAATGCAACTGGCTCAAAAGTAGACAAAGGAGAGACCTGCGGAAGATGGAGAGAGAAGGGCAAACCGGGTATTTCCCCCCGGGGGCACCGCCAGCGTGGCCTCCTCCAGCGTGTGGGGTGGGGGGGGGGGGGGGGGGGCCCACGTGGGATTTTGGGGTTTGCTTTACGAGGCCATCATCGCTCGAGAGTCTAATCTGATTCCGACCAAAAAGAAAAAAGAGAGACAGAAAAGAAATGTCTAATCTAATGAATTACCGCTGATTATGTCGTTAATTAATTGACAAATGTTTTGGGGTTGGATCTATCTGTTCCCGACTCCCATATCTTTCTTTATTCTTCCTTTAATTAAAAGCAAAAGAAACCAAAAATCCTAAACTACGCATATATCGCGACATATTTATCCTAAATTTTTTTTTTCCCCGTGACACGAAATATCTCAAACTTGTATTAATATGACAAATGGTATTGACACGGCACCCACGTAACAACGACGTTATTTCGGCTGAACAATCATATAACATGACCTTTACGGAGGATAAATGGTATCGAATAGGTACATGTTTGGGATTTTTTACGATAGACTTAATAGATGTGTCACATTGAGTATAATTCGGATTTATTTTAATTGTTTTTTTTTCTTGATTAGAAAATTATTTCACTTTCCCTTTTTGAGATTCACCTCGAAAAGGAAAAATGACGCAAATAGTCTTTGAACTTTAGTCCAATGCTTAGTGTGGGCCCTGAACTTTTAATTTGTTCAATGTAGTCCCTAAACTTTTTCGTACATGTTCAATATAGTCCATGAATTATGTGAAAATGTTCAATACAGTCATTCCATTAATTCAAGTTCGGAGACTACATTGATGAATATATAACAAAAGTCCAGGAATTATTACATCGAACAAATTAAAAGTTCATGGATCACAATTAACATTAAGCTAAAGTTCATGGGCTATCATTATACATTGGGATCAAGGCTCAAAGGCTGTTAGTGTTCGTAAAGAGCTCCCACAAAACGACGCGTCGTTTTTTTAAAATTAAAACCGACCCCTTACGACCCCCATTATAGCCTTCCAAACCACGCCATCGTCGTCCCGCTCTGTCGTCATCACGAAGTTTCTATTCTCCCGTCTAACCTCCGAGCTCCGACCACGCGGAGAGCGCTAAAGCGAGAGCAAGGATCGTTCGTCGCGATCGAGGCTCTTGGTACATGATCGATCGATCGAGGTCGGACGACCAAGGATGGGGTGCGCGCATTCCAAGATCGAGAACGAGGAGGCCGTCAATCGCTGCAAGGACCGCAAGCAGTTCATGAAGGACGCCGTCTCCGCCCGCAACGCCTTCGCCGCCACCCACGCCGCCTACGCCGTCGCCCTCAAGACCACCGGCGCCGCCCTCAGCGACTACGCCCACGGCGAGGTCGGCCACCCCACTACTACCCCGGGAGGCCGAGCGGGAGCGGCGGCGGGGGCGGCGGGGGCGGGGGCGGCGGCGGCGGCGGCGCGGCCTCGGCCTCGGCGTCGGCGCAGCTCCCGATCGAGACCCTGCCCCCGCCGCCCCCGCTGCCGGACTTCCAGCCCCCCCTGCCGCTGCCGCTCCAGCGCGCCGCGACCATGCCGGAGATCAAAATCCCCAAGGCGGAGGTGCGGCCGGCGGGGCCGACGATCGAGGAGGGGGAGGAGGAGAATGAGTTGGAGAACGACGAGAGCAGTAATTTGAGGCAGAGGAGCAGCAGGGGAGCTAGGCATAGAAGAAGTGGCGGCGGCGGCAGCAGCGGTGGCGGCGGTAGAAGTGGTGGGAGTCGCAGGGAGGTGGTGGCAGAGAACGAGGCTCCGCCGCAGGGAGCCATGCCGCTTTCGCGCGATAGTGAGCCGGATTTTTTCGAGTACCTCTTCCCGCCGGCGGAGAACGTTCCGGGGCCGACTTTGGGCGAGGTGGCTGCAGAGGAGGTGAGAGTTGACAAAAAGCAGGTTGAGAGTAAAGCTTTTAATGAAAAGCCTAAGAGAGTGGAATATGATGGTGAAGTTGCTGCCCCGGTGGTATCGGAGAAGGCGTTGGAACCACCAGTCCCGGCTGCTGCTGCTGCTGCTGCAGAGGTGGCACCGGCAGCAAAGAGTGCGAAGAAAGGGAAGGTGGGGATGATGCCGGAGGGGAAGCGGGTGGTGAAGGCGAATATAACTTTGGCACAGATATTTTTGGAGCTGGATGATGATTTTCTAAAGGCTTCCGAGAGTGCCCAGGAGGTTTCGAAGATGTTGGAGGCGACCAGGTTGCATTATCACTCGAACTTTGCAGATAATCGCGGTGAGAATTCTATGTTGCTATGTTAACTTTATCAAGATCAGAACTTCTTTCTGAATGTCTAGTCGGTATTCTTCTTAGATAAAGTATCGGTCCATCATGAAGCGGTTGGCTTAAGTGATAGGCGTTCTGTATTATTCATTAAAGGATAGTGCCAGAAACTTGAAGGATATTGAATGGCAGACTATGGATTGTAAGGAAGTATTAGTACCTGTTAGTTGAATTTGGGTTATTGTTATGTTGATTTGGTCCTTTTGCCTTGCAGGTCATATTAATCATTCCGAAAGGGTGATGCGTGTTATCACGTGGAATCGGTCTTTCCGAGGATTACCGAATGCTGATGAGGTGAAGGATGACTTTGACTCAGCAGAAAATGAAACTCACGCCACGGTGTTGGACAAATTGCTAGCATGGGAGAAGAAGCTATATGATGAAGTGAAGGTGAGCTATAACTGCACATTCGCAGATGGCCTGGTGGGCATGATGATCCCAAGTGTGGTTATCGTGTCGCGCTGACTGCTGAGTAGATAAACTTGGTTATTACGTTCCAGAGATATTCGGATCTGTTCATGGTGCTTCAACTTGTCAACTGTGTCATCGCTGATCTAAATGCCTGTCTTAGTTTTTAGTTCTTATCCGTGCATCTTCTGGACAGTTTTTACCTAATGAGCATGCAATATCAGTTTCTGAGTTGTATTGAACTAAGTTCTGAAGCCTCTCTCATTTCTTTTTATGATAGAGTTTAATAGATCTTAGGTGTCTTTTTACTTGACAGGCAGGTGAGCTTTTGAAGTATGAGTATCAAAAAAAGGTTACTGCGCTCAACAAGCAAAAGAGTCGAGGGACCCATTCTGAGTCTCTGGAAAAAACAAAAGCAGCCGTGAGTCATCTTCACACAAGATATATTGTTGATATGCAATCCATGGATTCAACTGTTTTGGAGATAAAGCGTCTACGAGACGAACAGTTGTACCCAAAACTAGTTCAACTTGTTGATGGGTAAGTCAAGTCAAGGCTGTGAATAATTTAGAATTTCACTTGCCCGCCTGTATAATTTGAGCCTTTGATAGTTGATATGTTCATAAGGATGTGCATCTCAGGAAACTAGATATGAACTGCCTGTAATTCTTTACGCTCTTGCTCCCCCTTCTTTCTTCCACCTCCTCCTTTTCCTTGGGAAAAAGTGGTCATGGTGGAATTCAAAGGACCATACTTCGAGCATTTCTATTCCCTGGCCATCAATATGATTATTCACAGCTGAAAAATGTTAAAATGCCCCTTGCGGCACTTGTTAAAGCCTTATCAACGTTTGCTTTAGAAATGTAAATTTTCTATTTGAAGTTAATAGATCATCTAAAATCAGGAAATATTATAGAGTGCCCTTTGGATACTTGTTAAGCCTTGTTAATAAGTTTAAGAAATGTGAAATTTTCTATTTGAACTAAATAACTTCCTGAGAATGTGTACCTTTCATATTGTCAAGATCTCTAGAAAAATCTCTATCTTTAGTTGACTTAACCACTGTCTTAGGGGCACTTGTTAACAAGATCATTTAAGATTTGTTATGGCGCTTGAGTCCTCGGTTTTGATTCGATAAACTCACTCTAAGTTATTTGAGTTTATTTGAACCATTGTTTGGTTCTCTTGTAGAGTGTCATCTTCCTCACTTGTCATACTTTTCTTCATAATTTTTTATCACCTTGCAACTGCTCCGGTTATGTTGTAGGATCATAATTGATTGCTGTAAGATTGCAGGATGGCAAGAATGTGGGACGCCATGAGAACCTACCACGAGAGTCAGTACAATACCGTGATGCATTTGGCATATATTGAAATTGACCAAGCCTCCAAAGAGATGAGTGAACACCGTCATGACCGTACCCTCCAGCTGTTTAAAGTTGTGGAAGACTGGCATTTGCAGTTTGGGAGTCTTATGGACAATCAGAAAAAGTACGTAAAGGCACTCAAGAACTGGTTAAAGTTGAATGTCATTCCCATAGAAAGCAGCTTTAGAGAGAAAGTTTCTTCCCCTCCTCGGAACGAAAATCCTCCCATCCAGAAACTTGTTCACGCTTGGGATGAAATTCTGGAGAAACTTCCCGACGAGGTTGCAAGAACTGCCATAAATAATTTCCGTGCTGTCTTAGAGACTATCTTGCATCATCAAGATGAGGAGATGAAATTGAAAGAGAAATGTGAGGAAACCAAGAGGGAACTTGAGCGCAAAATCCGCTCATTGGAAGGATTGCGTCAAAAAAGTATGCAGCGCAGGACCCCGCCAGATGAGATGGATCCAGATAGGGTACTAGATGATCGGCACTTTAGTATCATTACTGAGAAAGAAGTGACAGTGGATACGCTAAAAAAGAGGTTGGAAGAGGAAGAGGATGCTTATCGGAGGCAGTGCCTTCAGGTGAGGGACAAGACATTGGTCAGTTTCAAGAATCGTCTCCCGGAGCTCTTTCGAGCCTTGTCAACTTTTGCCATTTCTTCCGGGAAAATGTATGGTGGCTTGAGGTCATTATCATCGCAGCCACAAAAGCAAAATCTCTGAATAGCCAGAGTTTTCCATGTGTGTCTGGCAGTAAGTAATGTATACTTCAACATACGCATATGATAGCTTTGTTCATAATGATCTCTGCTGTTTTACCACGGGACCAATACAATAACATGTGTGCCATAATTTGTGAGCATCAATGTTACAGGTTTGGTTTGACCCTGGCCCTTTATTGCCACTCATGGCAATGTTGAGTATTTCTTCTGCGATGCTATGATCTTGGTTGTTTCGGTGGCATGGGGTTTTCGGAATTAGATTTGAAACATGTGAAGAGTTGACTGCCCTTGACAAGAAAATCAGAGGTGCAATTAGCTGCAACGAAGTCAAAAGTAATGTCTTTTTTCGTCCAGTAACTTCTGTTTTCATTTTCTTAACCGGTCTTTTGGATATTTCTATGTTAGCCCTATTGTATCCTTTTATGCTTTCCTCGGCATTTCATGAGATTTAAGTCACTTTTAGGTTCTCACGAGTCTAATTGCTTGATGACTTCATATGAAGGTCTGGAAGTGTTATTTTGAGGAACAACGATCATTGTCACAATAGTATAGCGTAGTAGTCATTGTTGTAGGCATTTTGAGAATCGATTACTTGTGCATAATGTAAGTGGAATATCTCTTTATCATTTGTAATCTAATTTTATTACTTATGATGTTTCATCAATTTTAGCGTAAGAAGTGCTCTTGTAACTTCCACGAGGGGAAGTTTCATTACATCATTGTTATCGTTATGGCAATCGAACTATATTTGATCAATGTGCATACGGGGTATTTCACTTCAATCCAGTACAGCTAAAATTGGTTTCGACCGAGAGTCTGTGGGTCAGCTCATATCCATCGAGCCGATATGCTCCGGGTGTGCGTAACAATTGCTCACGTAATCTAGCCATAGGCACATGCACTGCTCAATGGCCCTCTTTTTAAGTTCTAGCCTTCTGCTCGAAGTAGGCGATAAACAGAGACTTTCTGGCAAAACCTACTGTAATACGCAATCAAATCGGAGTCTGAAGAGTCTGACTATCATGGACATTTTGATTGCTGCTGGAATTTGTTCAGAGCACCATCCATCTCAAGTAGATGTTTTGGGGATTAACAATGGGACAGAACACAAATTAAGGTTGGAGGATACATATACATGGCATGGACATAGTGAAAGATTGGTAGTTGTTTTTGGTCACCTCAGGACCTTCCAAGTAATTGGGACGTCAACCTAAACAGCAAAGAAGTTTACTTCGCCCATCTTGTGGTTCACTGTTCAGAGTCATCCCTCTTGGTCTTGAAGGTGAAGCTTTTGCCAGTTTCTTCGCTGCAAATGTCAGCAAGAAGGAGAACCTTTATGAGAATTAACCCTTCTTCTAACTTATTTGTAAGAGAAAAGGCTTCGAAAACAGAGCGGGACATCGTGTGCGCAAATGTTTAGGATCGAAACTGAGCGTCTTGATGTTGCATTTTCATAAGCTGATTGTTCTAATGCTCATTTGTTTAAAAATTCGATGCATGAGAGGAAGTTGCACATAGGTAGAAGTACTGCTTGGCAACAAAATTATGGCCGGTATTATGATCCTCTAGATGTCATATTTGACAGTAGTATAATCGGCGGAAATATCGAGCACCCCCTCCGAGTGACTGAACGACCAATTACGTCGATTTTGTTTTACCTATCTCATGGAAAAGCTCGTTCACGTTTTGTGCAGTTTTTGCGGACGTTTCCGTGAAGAACATCCCATTCTCCTGAGCATATTGCTCCCCATCCTGCAAGTAATCCAGATCAGGCAGACATTACGTAAGAAAAAGGAGTGAGACAGAATGCAAAACTTAAGGTGAGGGACGCAACGAAGGAGGCCCGATTAGCAGAGACGTGTAGACTAGAAGCATCAAGCATGAGTATGCCGTTTCTGAAGGTCACAAGTAAAAGTTAACTGCTCGTACCTCTTTCTGTACTTCTCTCTTTGGGTCTAGGTCACACTTGTTCGCGACTAATGCCATCACGACGTTTGGATTTCCTAAAATCAAATGAAAGTGAAAACCAAATCAGCGAGTTGGTAATCTGATGAGCAATACCATTACACCCTTTAAGGATGGAAGCTCCAGGAGCTTAATTCACAGCATGTCGGAAAGACACTTCTACGCAAAATGTTCCGCTAAAACGGGAGTTAGACGAGCATTTTTGCTGAAGATGACCAGTGCTTTACTAGATCCCATAAAAGTAATTTATGGTTGGTTAACAATTTCAGCAAACAACAGAGGCTGCCCGTGCAACTGCAAACTGAAGTTGCTGTTCTTTTTCAAGACTTACTGATGGAATTCCATTATCAATGAGAACTACCCAGTTCTTGCTGATACGAACTTGTCATTTACCATAGCATGGTTTCTAACAGAGAAGGCAGGAATATTTGCTTTCCTTATAACAAGAACAGAAAGGAACTACCGATTCCGCGACCAAACAGAGATAAAGACCAGTTATGACGCGAAGGGAGGTGGGTTAAGAAATGTCCCAAAAAAATAATAAAGAGAAGAAGTTGCCATTGAAATTGCATTCTGAAGGTCTCACCTTGTCTTTGTACCTCCTGAACCCATTTTTTAGCCCGAGTGAATGTATCCTGAAGCAAAAGGACATACGCACTCCGTCACATCGGTTACATCAAGAGTTACATATTGTGATACTCATAAAGTGAGATGAATTAAGATCAGTATCGGCTGCAGGAACGGTAAGACAGGCCCTTTATCTTTGATGTAGTGTATCTAATCTCTCATCCATGGACAAACACGGGAGAATATCATGTACATTTTGCTCGGTTACCGGAAGTAGCAACGCGACCACAGAGTATAAGGGATATGCCCCGACAACTACGTGTTCTCTGAAGTTCGCATACTTGGACGACCACTAGCGATCAATATTGAGACAACTACATGGTTTTTCAGAAATTACTCCGGACATTAGAGAATTTGCTAGCATTACAAACTTGTCCACACGAGGAAATAAGGTACAGTTCAAGAGTCGGTTACCATGCTTGAGATGTCATAAACGACTATAGCTGCAGCCGCGCCACGATAATACATAGGAGCCAAGCTGTGATATCGTTCTTGTCCCGCCGTGTCCCATATGTCAAACTTTACAGTTGCTTCGTCCAAGGACAAAATTTGGGTGAAAAATGCAGCTCCTATAGTCGGTTCCTGCATATGGACCAGCGCGGGGAAACAATCATGAGATAAAAACAGTAAAGCGCAACAACCGAAACGATTTGTGCATGATAATGAAGATTAGACCTGGTGATCCACGAATTGGCCTTTTACGAATCTGAGAACCAAACTTGTTTTCCCGGTTCCCATGTCCCCCAGAAGCACCTGTGAGAGCAAAATTGTTAGTCTGATGGTCATTTCATGCTGATCAAGCATTGGCGATGCGTAACTATTCGAAATTGTTCCATATGAATTATTATCGACGGAATGTGGATTCTAATGCAGAATGAGCGCAGTCCCTCAAGACCGATTCTTGAAATATACTTCAGCTTTTTGACCAATTCAATTCAACAAGCTGGATCATCTAAATTGCACTTTAAACATGATCTTGCATCCTTGATTATACCACTTCGTCCAAAAGATTTGTATCGATCCTGTTCTACAAAATGTGGAGCCAATTCTTCACCCACCCTGTCATGCATGGTGGCCCATAACATTTTACAACGCTACAACATGAACCAAATGAAATTGGCAAGAAAGAACAATCCTAATCCTCTGTTTCTGAAGGGAGAGACATACCCACCAGCTTGGCTTGTACAATCTTGTTCCCGGGTCTTGCCATTGAACTCAAAATTTTGATCTTGATCGACAGAAACACAAGAAGGAAGAAAGAAACCTCCAGGGAAAGTAAAAGGAGAGAGCTTTAGGAGCTGACAAAGAAACCTGGCCAGTTTGTATTGGGATAAGAAGGAACAACCTGCTTCCTGTCTAAACAAAGAACAAGATGGAATGCAATAATCAATCAATGAGAGCTTTCTTGTGCAAGAAACAGAGACTGGTAGTTCTCCTTCTGACTGGTAGTTCTCTCTTTCCTTTTCATTTGGGTTTTGTTCTCATTCGTATTATCTTAATAGTCATCAAACATGGTGTTGAAATCAAATTAGAAAAAAACTACGCACGAAACAACAACTTCACAAACCATGTGGGAATGCAAAGGAGTTAAAGACATCCCTGTAATCTAAAAAAGAATTAGGCAGAAAAAAATGGACTTTTGCATTTGGCAATGCTTGACTTTACTAACGTCTGGCTCACCTTAATAATTTATTAAACAATTTATAAAATTTATTATTTTTTTGTTTTTCGCCTTTCCCGGTGGGAAATAAATAATTCTTGAGTGGGAATATGGCGATGACTTGGTGCCAACTGCCAATCAAATTTGGCCTTCAATTATTGATGAAGTACTTAATTCTCTGCAAGAACTTAGTACTATGAATGGACCACCCCCACAGGACCAATATAAGGGTGTCGGCTGTTCTCCTTCTTTTGGCTATAACTATAATTACCAGCCAAATTACACCGATTTTGTCTTTGTACTCGAGGATGTTTTGTGGTTGATGCTGATCGTTCCGTTAAACGGAACTTAAGTGTGTCCGAATAGATAAGTTTCTTAGGATTGCTTTTCGCGACAACACGGGAATGGTCTGCATTTGACTAACCGGATTTGGGTAGATATAAATGGATTAGTACGCAGGAGATCCTCACCTACTCTCACACCTAAAATGATTTTGAGGGTCGGGTCCGTCATCCGATCGATTGAGCCTTGCTCGATGCGATGTGCAATATTTGTTGGGCTCATCGAGATTACCGAAGTCTTAGGCCTATGCATTTGGATCGATTCCAAGCGGGAACCGGATCGAACCGGTGTTGGTGGACGGGTTCTAGAGTCGGTTCTAGAGCCTACAAAATAGGTTTCATATTCCAAAAATTAGAAACATGTCATGACATGATAGATCCTTACCTTGAAATCGATCGCCCCTAATCCTTTTTGTCTCGATCGTATGTAAATAAGGAGATGCTTTACTTCACGCTATTTGGTAAACTACCAGGAAAAGTTTGTCCTTTTAAAGAATTGAAAAAAATAAAACCAAAAAAAAGAAGAAAAAGAAACAGATCCTGAAATCGGATCGGATCGATTCGGTTTCAAGATCTACATTATAGGTTCTAAATTTAAAAAACTTAGAAATCGACATTGATAAGATAGATTTTAGGCTTCAAGGCCGGAGCTATCCGTTGCGGAACCAATCATCCTTAGCAAAGACAAAAAGTTAACAACGAATTGATGTGGCCCCGTTGATGGCATCCGGCTGAAGGGACCCATTTGTCAATGTGGTCCACCATAGAGGGCAAAATCAAAAGGTAGCGTGGTGCTTGGCCGTAATGATGAACTCGGCTTTTAATAAAGTCCAACGTTACTGTGTCTCTCCGTAATTGGCTACACGGGAAGCTCTATGAGGCCTTTTGTCAAATATCAATTTTGGCGTAACAGAGGGCCTGACTTGGATCCTTAAATCAGGGAGCAGTTTCCTACCAACATGAGCCATTTGTGCTTGTCCCCTGTTACAGCGAGCTGCTATACCGCGTTCCTTATTTTAATGCATCGGTATTCGCACGCTTTACCTCCTAATCTCCCTATAGATTTATCTTCCTTAAGAAGAAGAAATACCCTTTTTTGTATTTTACATCCAAAGGATACCGAAGTCCACATGAAGCATCGGACGAAACAGTTTTACCTCGTGCTTAGGAGGAGCCAAATTACTATTACATTAGTCATTATTAAAAATGTAACCTTATTGCCAATTTACCATAAGGTAGTGCGAATAGGGTCGTCCTTAGATTCTACTTCCTTCCTCAGTTTTCAGAGACTTAGAGCAAATCTTAGTTAGCTACAACAATATAATCCCTTGTCTTGGACATTAGACGCAAAGTAAAATTGTCTATAAAGGCATCGACAAATTCGGCGCTAAATAATTAGTTTGCTCGTTTTCACTCGGGGTGGGATGGAAATGAACTAAAAATCACTATGTACCAGAATCTAGATAGCCAGTAAAATCATTCGCGAACGATGTATGAAAGTGCTCTAATTTGAAAGAAAGGAAAGATATTGAAATATCGGGTATGTTACACGGTTGATCGTTTAAGAAATTCTGACCAATCTAGATATACACATCGAAGGAACAGTCCCAAGTTTGATTTGTTTTTTTTTCCTCACTTTTCTTGGGTCGGTATCCCAAGTTTGATTTCACAAGTAAAACTTCATGTCAACATCCCGAACGACAACGAGCGAAGCAAAATAATACGCTTCGTCATTCCTCGCACCAAAACAAAAGCAATCAATCGCAACCGAACAAGCCGAACTCACCCCCGCCACCAGCTACTCACGTCCCCTCTACACGATCCATGGATCAGTCCAAACCCGACCCGAATCCTCCGCCGCCGCATCCGCCGCCGCAGCCGCATCCGCCGCAGGGCTTCTACTACACTCCCCTGCCGCCCCAGCCCCACGACCAATACTACGTCGCTCTGCCGCTCTACTATCCCCGCCGGCGACGCCGCACCCTCACCTGCGTGCTCCTGTCCGTCTCGTCCCTCGTCCTGTTGGCCGCGCTCGCGTACGTCCTCTGGCCGTCGGACCCGCGCCTCAAGATCGCGCGGCTCTGGCCGACCCGGATCCGGATCCGGGCCGTGCCCGTCCTGGTCGTGGACATATCCATGCTGGCCACGATCCGGGTCAGGAACGCCGACGCCTACTGGATGGACTACGGCAGGCTGGACGTGGAGGTCGGGTACCGGGGGAGGACGCTGGGCCGCGTGCGGTCGGGCGGGGGTCACGTCAGGGCGTTCGGGTCGTCCTACGTGGACGCCGAGCTGGAGCTGAACGGGATCGAGATCCTGGCGGAGGCGGCGTTCTTGATGGAGGACCTGGCCAAGGGGAGGGTGCCGTTTGATGCCCTGACGGAGGTGGAGGGGCAGCTTGGGCTTTGGTTCTTCAGGTTCCCTTTGAAGGTAAAAAGGGTTCTTGGAGTGTTTGTCGCTCTCCGAATGATTGACTTTCTTGTTTAACAGTCAAACACAGTCATTACAGTCGTTTGTGGTTGGCCTGATCATATGCAGTTTGAGCATTCCACATATGCTAGATACAGTTTAGCATTCTACAAATGCTAGGAATTGGTGCTTGTATGATTTTATCTAGCTTCTCTGTATGAGTTCTGGATTTCTAGCATGACCCGCGACTGCCGCGACGGGCTCGCTTGCATCGAGATCTTTAACTTAAGGACTGTGCTATGTAGTAATGGGATTATTTCCAATTTCATCATGCATGACTTGTTTCAGACTGTACTAGGAAAAAAATGAAATCTTGCTAAGCCTCGCATGGTAGAGGCTCCTGAACAAGAATTTTGACGGCCCTGTGTTTCTGCACTTGATTATGCTGCTGTTGTACTGCTTTGTGTGCTTTTAACTTATCAGAGACAAAGGCAGAGTCACTAACTTCAGCTCAAAAAAGCAACAGTTTGTACTTTGTTCTATTTGCTCTAGGAATGTGTTAACAAGTGACACATGTTAGGTAGCTAATAGGAAAGATCACAGTTTTGGATACATTGATTGTTCTTCGTAAACTGTGAATTAGATGCTTTGAAAATTGAAACTTTCTTTACGACGTATATTTAACTAGTGCCCGTGGGGCACACTTCAACAAGATCTTTCGTTTTTTGCGCTCACAAAATATTCCATCCAATCTGCCACTTCGAATTGCTTAATTCAGACTTCTTTTTTTTAGCTATGTGATGTACAAATAATTCTTGTAATTTCTCTGCAGGCGAAAGTATCATGTGAGGTAATGGTCAATACGAAGAACCAAACGATCGTTCGTCAAAGCTGTTATCCTGAGGTGAGTAGAGTTCAAGCTCTTTCAACTTGTATTCATGAACTCGCTGCTAAGTTAATAATCTCTTTTATAACTTTAAGGCATTGGCCTTTCAAGTTACCAACATAGAGTGTCATAAGATTCTCCTGATTTAGTACATGTCGAGATGTCTAACAACCAGAGCCAGGGACAGTTTCTAGCAGTCTCAATAGATAAAATAGTCATACATGCGAACGTTAACAATTCTTCTTGTGTCCACAGCGACTAGGAAGCTCAATGGCATAACGTTGCACAGCTAATTCGGTGGTTATTGTCTGCGATACTCGCGCGAGAAATGATTTGGTGAGAAGATCAAGAGGACAACATGGTACATCGTCAATCCTGGTAAAAGCTACTTCCCCTAAGGCAGAAAAAACAGAGTGGTGGCGAAAGTGTATTGGGTTGGGTTCTGGTATGATGATCAATATGTGAGGATCCAGTAGTAGTTAAAAGAAGTTGTGTGGATGTAAATAATATTTGAGTGGAAACTGTGTTAAAAGAGCTTATACCCATGTACAAAGTAACAAAGATTACTACGCTCAACAAAAATCTTACTTGATTCATAATTAAGACGAGATGTGTATAGAGGTGTTTCTTTACATCACAGTGCTTATTTTTATGCACCTTACTCATCTAACTGGACTCGTTTATTTATGAGTGTTAGACTCTAACCCGACCGACCCATATGTAATTAGACTGGTGATATCTACACCTGAACGATCCGGGATGGACCGTAGGAGAGCACATGCACCAGTTGGCTGTGCCTCCCCCACCTCGGCCATTCCCTCTTGCTTCCTCGTTCGATGCACGGTTGCTATCATCTTTGTGTGCCACCGTCTCCGGCGGGGCAACCCGTCTTTGGCGACTCCTGGTACTGCGGGATACACCAACCACTGGAAAACCAGGGTGACACATCAGTCTTTCTTGTTCCCTTCCTTTTGCCCCCTTAATTTCCTGGAGGTAATAGACTGAGATTGTGTGAGGGAGGACTTGGTGTTTGTTATAGAGCAAGAAACGTGAGGATGCTAAGGAAACAGAGGAGATATGAAGTTGGTACCAAAAAAAACTTTGGATTTGTCTAAAAGGCAATCAGAGGCTGCTATTTTTATTCTCATTAGGCTTTTCTGTTGGGTTGGGGAAGGGTGGCTTTGTGTGCTTGAAGTGGGGTTGTGTCGCTGTGTGGATGGTGTCAAAAGGAGGTGAGACTTATCTGCAGTTTTAGATGCTCAATCTTTGAGTTCCTCATACTTGGCTAAGCAAAAACCGTTGGCAATTTATTGTGTGCTTCAGAACCTGTGCTGTGATCACACTCATCCATCCGCTACTTGTTTGTCAGCTTCTGTTTTGTTTCATTCCTTCTTAAAGTTATTTTGCTCGAAAGAAAGAAGACAGCTTCTGTAGTATCATTGTGAAAAGTGAATTATGCTGGACTATCAGTTCCATGGTGAATCCTAGATGGCACAAAATGATAATCCATGTCAACTATAACCCGGGCCTTCCAAGTTTCCTACTATAAAACCATGTCAAGAACGGTCGGTTTGAACCGATTGAAACTCAAATATCAAATTGCACGTCAAGAAGCGTGATCATTAATTCAAGTCTTAAGAAAAGACGAAACTTCTCGAGCCTATTGGTAATTACCTTGTGCAGCAAGACACGGGAACGAGCGCGATCGGACGCGATTAATTGGGCTTTTAAAAGATTATAGCATCCGCGTCGCCCAAGAAAAACATTCATATTTTGGGGTTGTTGTCCGGTGAGAACTCAGCCATATATATCTGAGCCCCAACGATGTATCAAAGTCTGAGATTTGATTAGTCAAAGCGCGATTGACAGCAGTAGTACTTGGTTGTCATTGGATGTCGTGTGGTTTCCTTCTCCTGCTATGTGTTTTTCTCTGGTAATCTGGATGGGGTGAATGCATCATCAACCTTTGACGTTCTTGATATGGGTGTTGTAATTATCTGATTAGAAGCCTGACTAATTTGACTGAAACTCTCGTTCGACTCTGATTGAGTCCCTCGCTAATTTCTGCGGCCCAAAGCAAACCTTGGTGCGAAAACACAAAGGCAAACCTCGTTCGACTCTGATTGAGTCCCTCGTTCGACTCATGGTTTTGATTCTCCAATCCAAAACCTGGGTCGCTTTTCGCGTGATGGGAACATCATCATCTCTTGAAACACAAAAGGACACCATCGAAGCATAAGTCATAAAGGATCACTAGCCCCAGATTGAATTTTTTTTTGTCAATTTGTTCGATGTTGTTTCTGTACTTTGTTTTGGCCAATGTAATTGCCGAACTTCGAGTTTTTTTTTGTTGGAATTGGTCCTCCGATCAAATAATTGTACGGAAATGTTGAGGTGGCCATCGGCACTCTGTCGATGTTGACCGGATTAATTGCTGTCGGGAAATTAAAAAGAAAAGGAAGGAAAAACTTAAATTTTAAAAAAAAAAAGACGCAAAAACTCTAAAGAGGGAGAGAGGGAAAGGGAAAGTTATGCAAGCAATTGCAGCGGTGAAACTTGAAAGTGCCGCTCATGCACGCGATGCTCCGATGACCCCTGCTGACCTCCGGCGAGCTGACGTGTTGCTTATGTGGAGGTCAGTGTTAATATTGCCACTTACATGTTTGACGAAATGATCAACCTGAACAAAAGAATCTAGAGTTCAAGGATCAAATCAATAAAAGAAAAAGTTCATGACACTAACTGCATATTTTGCAGAAGTCTATGGACTATTATTATGCTTTCTCCTAATATACTTATCTCAGAAAGTTTCAATGTTTTTTTTATCGCTCTAATAACTACATCACAAGACAAGTCACTATAAAATTGTTATATGCAATTACTTGTACGTCTTTCAAAATACTTGTTAACAAAATCTTTTCAATTTAGCGCCACCAAGAAAGGTAAACTTGAATAGACGACTATCACATATTCTCTCGTATATTCGTAACTTTCGTCATGCAAAGAAGATCATCGAAGTTGCAACAGAACACATCAACGATAAACAAAATGACGGATGAAAAAAACATTGGATTCAATTAAATGTTAAATAAAAAGGAATTCATGAAATAATTTTTCACAGGGGACCATCTAAAAAGAAAACATCCTCCATCTTTTTTCTTTTTACGTTAAAAGAAAAGGAGTGAGAGAGAGAGAGAGAGAGGGAGAAAAGGGCGAGAAAAGTCATTCACGTTCAAAGAAGTTTCTAGAAGAGGCGGGGCGCCCCTACCGTGACCCTCGACGCCAACAACGTTTGCCTAAAAAAAAAACACCATAAAAAAAATTAAGAATATAAATAAAAAACGAAAAAAATAATAAATTACAGAACAGGGAAGGAAGGAAGGAGGAGGAGCAAGTTCGAACAGTAAAGAAATTTCCACACACAAGCGCACGCACACACACAGCGTACCTCCCTCCCTCCCTCCCTCCCTCGTATAAAAGGCCCACTTCTTTGGAGAATTCTAGAGACCCTCTCTGCACCGTCGCGAGACCCCCCCGTCAGGCACTTGGTGATCTCTGTCCTTCCCTCCTCCTCCTCCTCCTTCAGGTGAGACTGCCGACGCCCCTCCCCACCTCGAAGGAAGCGTCGTCTTCTGGAGCTCTGGCTCGCGTTCTCTCTGCGCTCCCGTCCCTCTTTTCTCTTTAGATCTGCAGCTTCGCGTGCTCTTGAAACGCCTGCCTTCCGTGACTCTCTCTGTTTTTTTTTTTTTTTTTGCTTTTTTTTTTGGCTTAGTTCGGGCTTCGGATTTCGCCGCTTCATTGGTGTTCGTGCTTGGTTTCGTTGTTCCTGCCCGCTTCGAATCGAGTGTTATGAAAAAGCATGATGCTTTTTATGTGTGCCTTTGTATTCGGGGGGATCCTGGGGGGTGTTGGGGGGCGGTATCGTTCGTGATTCGTGTATGTCTTTTGCGGGTCGCGGCAAAGAATTGATTTTGTTTGGTGTTTTGGTAGTTCCGTGTATGTAGGCATTTACTTTTCGGCTCTAATTTGGGAAGGCGGCTTTGTGGACTTATCAAAGGAAGGCCCAAGTTGCGCTGCTGATTGAGATTTCTGCATTTAATTTTCCCTCGTGGTCGACGGTTAGATGTTTTGTATTTCGCGTCGAATAGCATGTTTTGGTAGTTCTGCGAATGTAGGCATTTACTATATGAATCTAATCTGGGAAGGCGGCTTGATGGACTTATGAAAAGAAGGGGAAATTGGTGCTGATTGAGATTTCTGCAGTAAATTTTCCCGTGCGGTTGAAGTTTAGTTGTTTTGCATACGCGTCGATTTTTTGTTATTCTATTGAGTGTGTAGTTCTCGAACTCTCGGCTTGTCTAGGCAGAGTGATATTTACGTTTTAATTTGGTTGCGTCATCGCTGACTGTATGTTGCACTATTGGCATTGATAGTTGGCTTCTCAATTTGGTGGTTAATTGAACAGGTTGCTTTGCTTCTGTGAACATTTAGCAGGTAATCAACACGTTTTTACTCCTGCCAGTCAGCCTATTTATTGCCTGGATCTATGCGGAGTTAAACAACGATAAATCTGTATAATTAGTTGCCTTATTGCTGACTGGATATTGTACTATTTGTTTTGATGGTCTGCTTTATAATTCGGTGGTTAATTTGACATATTGCTTTACTTCTGTGAACATTTACCAGGAAATCAACACTTTTTACTCCTGCCAATCAGCCTATTTGTTGCCTGAATTGGTCTGCCCAGCTAAAGATGAGCGTGGTTGGCTTTGACTTTGGGAACGAGAGTTGCATTGTTGCTGTTGCGAGGCAAAGGGGGATCGATGTCGTGCTCAATGATGAGTCCAAACGCGAAACTCCTGCCATCGTTTGCTTTGGTGAGAAGCAGCGGTTCATTGGAACTGCAGGAGCTGCTTCTACCATGATGAACCCCAAAAATTCTATCTCTCAGATAAAGCGGTTGATTGGACAGAAATTCTCAGATCCCGAACTGCAGAGGGATCTGCAGTCATTGCCTTTCCAAGTTACTGAGGGCCCTGAGGGTTATCCTTTGATACATGCAAGATATCTCGGAGAAGCAAGGACATTCACCCCAGCCCAAGTACTTGGCATGATGTTCTCGAATCTCAAGGGTATTGCTGAGAAGAATCTAAATGCAGCAGTGGTGGATTGTTGCATTGGGATTCCAGTTTACTTTACAGACCTCCAGAGAAGAGCAGTCCTAGATGCTGCTACTATTGCAGGCTTACATCCTCTTCATTTAATGCATGAAACCACTGCGACTGCCCTGGCTTATGGCATTTACAAGACTGATTTGCCAGAAAGTGACCCACTTAATGTTGCTTTTGTAGACATTGGTCATGCGAGTATGCAAGTCTGCATTGCAGGATTTAAAAAAGGACAGTTAAAAATCCTGGCTCATTCTTATGATCGATCTCTAGGTGGCAGAGATTTTGATGAGGTTTTGTTCCACCATTTTGCTGCGAAATTTAAGGAGCAGTACAAGATCGATGTTTTCCAGAATGCTAGAGCTTGTCTTCGGCTCAGGGCCGCCTGTGAGAAGCTCAAGAAAGTTCTCAGTGCAAATCCAGAGGCGCCTTTGAATATTGAGTGCTTAATGGATGAAAAGGATGTCAGAGGGCATATCAAGAGGGATGAGTTTGAACAGATCAGTGCCCCAATTTTGGAGCGAGTGAAAGGACCTCTGCAGAAGGCTCTTGCAGAAGCTGGTCTTGCAGTCGAGAATGTACATATGGTTGAGGTCGTCGGTTCCGGATCTCGTGTTCCTGCTATCATTAGGATTTTGACAGAATTTTTCGGGAAGGAGCCTAGGCGAACAATGAATGCAAGCGAGTGCGTTGCCAGGGGGTGTGCTTTGCAGTGTGCAATCCTTAGTCCAACCTTCAAAGTGCGAGAATTCCAGGTAGACATCGTCTGACTTCTGCAATGGCTTCTAATTTTGGGCTGATATATGGCTGCGCAGTTTGATATTTCTATATTAGATGAATTAAATATCATTCATCACTCACTTCCATTTAATTGCGCATTCTATATATGGCATATCACCGTCTATGTATACAAATTCGTGGGTTCACAATCTTCCGCCTCCTTGTGTGTGCGTCTTGCATGTGTAGAGGTGCACTCGTGATCATATATGTCTCTGTTTATCCCTGACGAGTATCCAGTTTTGTTAACGTATCTTACTGTTCTATATTGACATGTTTCATAATCCTGGCGCCAGAGCTGTCATAACCTTTGGTTGTATCGTGAGTCTTTTGTCGTTCTTGCTTGGCTGTTAGCCACTTGTACTTGGTTTTCTTTTTTTTGGATCGAAACCAGTTGTACTTGGTTGGTTGGTTGGTGTGACATTTGCGAGCATCTTGGAGTGATAAATAATCTAGAAAATACCAACTAATTTGAATTGGTGTGTCTTCAATCAGAATGGTTACATTTTCATAAGGATTGCCTCTTTCTTTCTTCTATCGTGGAACGTGTATCACCTGTTCTTCTTTCTTAACTTATGTTTTCACTCATAAGGTCCACGAAAGCTTTCCATTTTCCATTGGCTTGTCATGGAAAAATTCCGCGGCAGAAACTCAGGATGGGGCTGCAGATAATCATCAGCAAACAACTATTGTCTTTCCTAAAGGAAATCCGATTCCTAGTATCAAGGCTTTAACATTCTTTAGGTCCGGAACATTTACTGTTGATGTCCACTACGTTGATGGCAGTGAACTGCAAGCTCCTTCAAAGATCAGTTCATACACGGTAAAGGAGAAAGCTGAGAATGTCTTTTATTTAGCTTGTTTAGGCTTGGAATTTCCTCCATTAATTCAGTTGGCTTCTCCTAACTTTTATACATATGCAGATTGGCCCCTTTCAATGTTCAAAAAGTGAACGTGCCAAACTGAAGGTCAAAGCCCGACTAAATCTCCATGGAATCGTGTCTGTTGAGTCTGCAACAGTAAGTATAGCAAGAGTTTGCATTTCATATTGAAGTTGGGTCCGTGATAATCTGACTTTTGATTAATCTATTTGGTGCTGCAGCTCATGGAAGAAGAGGAAGTGGAAGTTCCAGTTACAAAGGATGCAGCACAAGAGGCGAATAAGATGGACACTGATGAAACCCCTAGCGACACTGCTCCCCCTGCTTCTGCTGAAGCTGATGTAAACATGCAAGATGCAAAAAGTGCTGCTGATGCTCCTGGGGTAGAAAATGGTGTCCCTGAGACAGGGGAGAAGGCTGTACAGATGGAAACTGATATCAAGGTCAGTTGTTACTGCTTGTGCGAGCTAGTCATTGTCTTTTTTTATCACTGGATTATCCTCTGCCTGTATGTCCCCTTTTCAATTCTAATTCGATTAATATGAATACTTTGTTGTGGGTAACTTTTATCCTTTCATGCAAAATTATACAAGATCGTCTTGTCGATGTGCTCTGAAATGAGGGTTATGACAGAGGTACGGTGAGGGTTTCTGTCATTGTCAGGCTTTTGGTTGATGTCTATGGTGATTGACTAAATACCTTTAGGTCTCGTTTGATTATGTTTTTCTGGTTGATGTCTGGTGTCAAAGTATTGACAGTCGATGCAATGGGTTCATCACTATCGATGCTCGTAGAGCTGTAACATTGAGGTTTGAGATGTATTTGGCTGCCTTGCTTTTCTATTTTCATTATTTTGGTTGTGGACATGCAGACTGAGGCTCCAAAGAAGAAGGTAAAGAAAACAAATGTTCCTGTGGCAGAGGTGGTATACGGTGCATTGTCATCAGGAGACTTACAGAAGGCAGTCGAGAAGGAATTTGAGATGGCTTTGCAAGATCGGGTCATGGAAGAGACAAAAGACAAGAAAAATGCTGTGGAAGCTTATGTCTATGATTTGAGGAACAAGGTACGGAGCTGCTAATTCTCCCTTGTTGATTGCTTTTGCAGAAGCGGACACTTAATTTTTGCTCGCTCTATGTTTTTTCTGTCAGCTGAACGATAAGTACCATGATTTTGTCACGGATTCGGAGAGAGAAAAGTTCACTGCTACACTTCAGGAGGTGGAAGATTGGTTATACGAAGAAGGTGAAGATGAAACGAAAGGTGTCTATGTTGCAAAGCTTGAGGAACTTAAAAAGGTAATAGAATTGTTTCATTTCCATTTTATGTTAGAGGCGATTGCTCCACTTTCTTACCATGTCGCCTAACATGCAGCAAGGTGATCCTATAGAAGAGCGTTATAAGGAACACATGGAAAGAGGATCGGTGATAGATCAACTTGTTTATTGTATAAATAGTTACAGAGAAGCAGCCATGTCGAATGATCCCAAATTTGATCACATTGATCTCTCTGAGAAGCAGAAGGTAGAGTTCTTGCTCTGCTCCTTTATCTGGAACTGGCAGCTGTCTATCCTGAAGACATATATTTGATAAATTTATGCTGTTCTTCAGGTCTTGAATGAATGTGTAGAAGCAGAAGCCTGGCTAAGAGACAAGCGGCAGCAGCAGGATTCTCTTCCTAAACATGCTCCTCCAGTTCTCTTGTCAGCTGAAATAAGGAAGAAGGCAGAGTCGTTGGACAGGTACCTTACCCTCTCCTTTCTTGATTGTGAGATGCTCTTTCTCTTGGATGTGGTGGTTTGTTAATTCCCATTATTCTTCACAAAGGAAGACATTCTTCTTGGTGGTTTGCGGAGCTAGCCAGATATTTGTCATAGAGAAGAAGGTTTAAGAACGTATTGTATAGTAACAATTTCTTGTTTGAACACATATGAAGATTCTTTATCCAAACATTGCCGCAGAAATTAATCGACGTACCAAGAGAAACAGAGACCTCTATTGATCTATGAACTTATCATTAATTTATACAGAAACTACAGATAAGATCCTTGAGGAAATAACATTGGAAAGAGGGACACTGAGTAACATTAGAAGGCTTTAGTTTGATTGGCGTTTGACGTTGGATCTCAACAGTTGCCTTTTTTTTCTCTTTATGCTACGAAGAAACTTGTTTGATAACTTATTGATGTGAAAATTCAGTCGTCTCCTTCCCTAGTTATTCCCCTAGCAATAGCAAATTGAGATTCAGGATATTGCATCGTTTGCTCGCTTTTGTATAAATGTCAATTTTTACTTGGTTTTTCTCTTTAACTTCTACGTGGAAGTTACAGAAATCATTGATAATAATTAGATGGGGCTGGAAACCTTGAAACAGTTCATTTTAGGAAGATATTGCCATAAAGTAGGGACAGTTCCATGGAACCTCAATGTACCTGTTGAAAAGATGGCTAGCTGGTCGTACGCACATGATTGCCTTTCTCCTATTTTTTTTGTTCTCCTAATTCTAGAAGTAGCTTTAGAACTAAGATTTGCTTCGATAGGTTTTGCCGGCCAATAATGATGAAACCAAAGCCTGCCAAGCCTGTTACTCCCGAGGCTCCCCCTCAGCCTGCTCAGGGTGGGGAGCAGCAACCTCAAGGTGATGTCAATGACGATGCCGATGCAAGTTCTAATGCTGATGCTGCTGCTGGGACTGATGATGTACTTCCTGCTTCTGGGGAGCCGATGGATACCGACAAGTCTGAGGCGCCTCCCTCTTCTTAGAGTTTTGCTTGGTATAGCTGCACATCATGTGTTATTGATTGTGTAAGGATTCGCTGGTTCAAACCTCAGAAGCTTCCGCTGGGAAAGGGTTGAGAGGTTATAGGAAAGCCTGATTCATAATTATTGCAAAGGCTTTTGGGTGTTCTCCAAAGATTTTTTCTTTTGCAGTGTTTTCTTAAAAGACGAAGCTATGAATGCTCCCCCAACTGAGTTTCCCTTCCCCTTCTTGGTGCGGTTGCTGCGAATCTACGATGTAGCGTCTGTATTATTTCGTGTGGATGGATTTTGTTAAATGATAAGGTCCAATTTTTCACTCGGTTGAAGCCATTGCTCCCTCCAGGGACAAGTACTTGGAAGGGTATGTTTGATGGGTGCATGCTCGTCGAAAAACAGGGATGGTTAATATGCTAGATTCGCCTGGTGTTATGTTTGAATCGGAATTCGTAGTCCGGCGGAGCCGCTCTGTTCCATTTCTAGGCTTTGTGGCATGAATAGATACTCAACTAGATCGTCTGTTCAGGGACATTGATAATCATTACACTTAATACCGGCAGGTCATTCGGTAAGGTCTTGAGAGTCGAGAGTCTCTTGTGCCATCGGAGAAACCGAAATGGTCCGAATTGTGAAAGTGAGAAATAGTTTGTGAGGCTGTCGAGTGAATCATAAAGAGTTGGATGAAGCTGGACAATCTAAATCATCTGTGAATCGGAACGCTTTTCGTGCAGCATACTAGTACCTAATAAGGCTATATCAAATGCAGAAAAAAAAGAAAAAGCTAGTTTGATAATCAATGCATAGCGAACGATAAATGTTGTTAGCTTCTCACCAAATCTGGTATCTTTTTCTCGATAAAGTAGACCCATAAACTCACACGGATGATGGCCATGTCGGGTTTGGCAGATATCAAAGTGTCATTTACCTACGTTGGTCAGATATTGCAAACTTCTAATAAACAGAGATGAATATCTGAGATGAGGTATGTTCAAGAACGATGATTTGGAAGACGAGACTGCTTCGGCAAGGTGTAGACTTTACCGAAAGGTAAATGTGAGGAGATTGATCATGGTCTTCGCACTTTGTCGGTGGCGTAACGAGGGCAAGCAGAGAGATGACACCCCAATTAGCTGGGACAACATTTGCAGACCCAACAGATGTGGTGATTTAAGCGCTTCAGGTGAACAGCAGATTTCATTCTGCTCTGTTGGCTAAGCAGCCTTGCATGAAGACGAAAACAGACACGGCCATGGGTTTCTCGCCCCGGATTTTCAGCAATGTGCAACAATAAGCTGGAGATTCCGGGCTATGGAAGACTATTCTCCCCGGACGAGACCTCATTGCTGCCCGTTTGATCTTTCTGCAGGGCGAGGGTCATCCTTGGATACCTGATCTTCTATGGATTTTTCCGCTGAACTTGACAGTGGATGCACTTATCGATTGGAATTCTGAGAAGAAGGAATTGTTAGCCGTTTGATATTCAGTCTGTGACAAGATTCATACTCCTCAAAGAGCCCAACACGGTGAAGTCAAAGAGTGTTTTACGAAGAAGCATACGACGCGTTTGTCGGCGGAACTCGTCTCTGCAGGCTCGGTTCTACTAGCTGAAGGGGAAGCATTACTCCTAGGGAGCATCAAAGCTGGCAAAGCCAATCAATCTCACTGGTTAATGCCAGAAATACTGGACATAGCAAAAAAACTCATTGCCACCTTCCGGGTCTTGCCGCCCATCTGCTCTACAAGTTTGGCAAGGTATACTGTGATTGAGTTTATGTCATTCCCGTGCTTTCTCAGATTGGTAGGGTTAATGAATTTGTAATTGATGAAAAAATTTGAACTTCATCGTTCTTCTCTTTAGTTGTAGGCTTCGAGCTCACCCACATTGTTAATAGGTGCATTTTTTTTCCATGAATTATCCATTTACTCGAAATGGTAAGGATAAATCATACCGATATCATCCATCTGCCCGAGCCTCTAATTTTCAATTTCACAATACTCATCGCTTATTTTGAGCATTATACATATGGTATTGTCTTCGTTTTTTTCAGCGACATACTCCAATAGAACCAAAAACTTTTCTAAAATCGTATTCTTTTACATTTTTAGTTAAGCCTACGCTTTCTCAAAATCATATGCTTTTATATTCTCGCGACAGGTAATTTTTTTCTTATCAATGTTTGGATTACATATCCATGTAATAAGTCGGGTAAATGTGTATGTTTTAAATCGATCGATCAAGAAAAATGTGGTGATTAAAGATTATGAAGCGCACTTGATGACCTTAATTGCAAGCACTAATGGGCCAGGACAATAAGATAGAAAGGGCCTAACAGTAGAGAGATGCCATGCTTTCTTGATATCTTCCCGGCTCAGTTCATTTTGCGGGCGGTCAACAGTCATTCAGTTCCTCTTCCCTCTGCTTTCTTCCTCTCGGACGACGGCACTGTGTCTCGGGCGGTCGGACAACGTACCTTAGGGAAGCTCTTCTTCGTTGCTTTTCGCATTGTTTTTCCTCTGAATTCACTCCGACATGACGTCGAGAGCACTCGGCATGTCGATGAGCTACTCCAAAGCGGCCTCTTCGAGGCGTTCGATCACGACCCTGCCTCCCCTCTCTGAGAGAATTAAGCAAACAGGTTAGCTTCATTATGCAAAACTCCCGCTTTCTTTCTTTTTTTTTCTTTCGTCTCTTTTTTTGGGGGCAATTTCTGCGCTTTTTTGCTGCTGTTTGCGGTGAATTAGAAGTCTTGTTAAGCACTGGCTTGTGATGAAATGTTGGGTCACTGGGGCTTTTCTTGCAGCAACAGTATGATATACCTGATAATAACTGTTCTAGTGTAGCGCAATGCCATTGGATCTCTTGTGATAGTGTGAAATGAGAGCTTTTGAAGAGAGGGTTATTTTTCTTTTTTTCAAGAAAGTTCTTTTTTTCGGGTGTTTGGTTCGCAGAAAATGAGATTGTCCAAATGTTCCTGCCACATAATCTCGGAGACGATGCACAAGACCTGCCGAAAGATCCGAGGATGTCGAGGTTTTCGAGGAGAGACCTTTCAGTTCGGACTTTGGACGAAAGGTTCATCAGGATTCTGAAGATTTTCAAGTGGGGCCCTGATGCAGAAAAGGCTTTGGAGGTGCTAAAGTTGAGAGTGGACCATCAGCTCGTTCGCGAAATACTGAAGGTCGACGTTGAGATCGCTGTTAAGATGCAGTTCTTCAAGTGGGCTGGAAAGAGGAGAAACTTCACGCACGACGCGAGCACCTATATGGCCTTGATTCGCTGCTTGGATGAAGCTGGGCTGGTTGGTGAGCTATGGAAGATGGTTCAAGAAATGGCTAGGAGTGCAAGCGCGATCAACCCGGTTGACTTATCTGAAATCATCCACATGTTGGGCAGGGCTAAGATGGTAAACAAGGCTCTTTCGATATTTTACCAAGTCAAAGGACGCAAGTGCAAAGCTACAACAAGCACTTACAATTCTATGATTATGATGCTAATGCAAGAGGGTCATCATGAAAAGGTTCATGAGCTGTACACAGAGATGTGTAATGATAACAATTGTCTTCCTGATACTGTGACCTATAACACAGTTATATCAGCATTTGCTAAATTGGGTCATTCGGAATCTGCACTTAGGTTATTTGATGAGATGAAGGTGAATGGTTTACATCCCACTCCAAAGATCTATACAAATTTGTTGGGGATCTATTTTAAATGTGGGGAAGTTGAAAAGGCATTGAGTCTAGTCCAAGAGATGAGAGACAAGGGTTGTGCACTTACTGTTTTTACTTACACTGAATTGATTAAGGGGCTTGGCAAGGCTGGGAGGATTGATGATGCCTACAGTGTGTTTATTAGTATGCGAAAAGACGGCTGTGAGGTTGATGTTGTCCTCATAAACAACATGATTAACATTTTGGGAAGAGCTGGTCGTCTTGACGATGCTTTAAAAATCTTTAATGAGATGGAATCCATGCGATGTGCGCCAAATGTCGTAACATACAACACTATAATTAAGGCTTTGTTTGAATCCAAGGCTCCAGTTTCTGAAGCGGCATCGTGGTTTGAGAAGATGAAGGCAAATGGTATTGTTCCCAGCTCATTCACTTATTCGATTCTCATTCATGGGTTTTGCAAGGCAAACAGGGTTGAAAAGGCTTTGCTACTCCTGGAAGAGATGGACGAGAAAGGTTTTCCTCCTTGTCCGGCTGCCTATTGCAGCCTGATCAACTGTCTCGGAAAGGCGAATCGTCATGAAGCTGCTAACGAGTTATTTCAAGAATTGAGAGAGAATTCTGGACGCTTGAGCTCAAGAGTGTATGCAGTCATGATGAAACACTACGGAAAAAGTGGACGTCTCAGTGAAGCTGTTGATCTTTTTAATGAGATGAAGTTGATAGGCTGCAATCCTGATGTTTATGCTTACAATGCACTCATGTCAGGGATGATTAGGGCTGGTATGATAGATGAAGCTCATTCATTACTTCAGACCATGGAAAAAAATGGCTGCAGCCCAGACATAAATTCACATAACATCATTCTTAATGGCTTGGCAAGGTCTGGTGGGCCGGATCGGGCAATGGAAATGTTTACGAAGATGAAATGTTCAAAGATTAAGCCGGATTCCGTATCTTATAACACTGTACTTGGATGTCTCAGCCGCGCTGGTATGTTTGAGGAAGCTGCAAAGCTTATGAAGGAGATGAAGGCTCAAGGATTTGAATATGACCTCATCACCTACTCATCAATACTTGAAGCAGTTGGTAAAGTCGATGAAGTTCGGGAACCAGCCTTATGAGAAACATAATTGATCAGATCTTATCTGCATGGTCTATTTTATGCCGAACGGTTGTTAAATCATTTGATAACCAGAGGCATTCTTTAATAAATGATCACTATGAGTCAAACTCAATAGAATACGATCAATCTTTTCTTCTGTCGTTAAGGTGGAAAACTGAACCAAGAATTCAATTTCTTTATCATCAATCGAATCATTGTTCGCGACAATCGCTGTTTCACCTCCCAAAAGCAAAGTTGGCTTGACAAGCTCAGATGAGAGGAAGTGGGTGGGAGCAATAAACTCCTATGATTGGCCAGACATCTCCTTGTTCGGGTCATGTGAATCACAAGTAGAAAAAACTGGATCTCTTATTTGCCTTCCAACAGGGGAACTCTCTTAGGTCCTAGTTTTTTTGGAATTTCTTTGGATCATTTCGTAAAGAAGCTTGTCCAGCCACAGGAATTGAAGAGTGCGAGCACATTCATTGATGCAGCGAATGCAAGCTCCTGGTGGAAGCTTTTCCATGAGATTCCCCAGCTACCGCTATCGAATCTCCTTCTTTCGCTTTTCGTAAGTGAATCAGAGCTGGAAGGGTCTATCCGATGTGGGACTGATGACTTTCTTGGATCGGATTCCTTGCTTGCATTCCTTATTGGAATGGAAGTAGGAGGCTTCAATCAATTCTCCGGGCGAAGGCTAGATTTTGAATCACTTATCGGATCAGAGGCATATTTCCTTGGTCATCATGTAAGTTTTTCTTGCTGTAGAGTTGCCGATATTCAAGCAAAAACTCCCCTCTCAGGCACTTGTTTTGACTACTGACCCTTATATCCGTAAATTTAATTTGGCTTGGTTTTAAGGTAAGGTAAAGCTCCAAAACCAAAAAAGATGGTGAAGTGAACAACTGTTCCTTTGGAAGGCCGCTCTATCCTGGCATGTTTAGAGAGACTTGCGGAAAGGCTGTGAATCATGTCTTTGATATGGGCGTGCAAGATCATGGCAGGGATCATTCTGTCTTGAAGATGAGAAAGTTAGAGAAGTACCTGTCCTCACTCATCAGTGGCTTCCCTGATTTTGATGAGTATGAGATGCATGTTCTTGACTTTGGAGAGGACAGTTTGATGCTATAGATTAGTATCTGGAGACTGACGGTATTAAGAAGATGGAGACGAAGAAGACATACATGTCTTGATACTTCAAAGACACAGAAGTTTGACATTGGTGATCTCTTGACAGCGAGCCTTTTTCTTTTCCAGGAAAGACTATCAAAATCGTAATTGGTTATGAACTTCTGGTTGTTTGGGGATTAGCATGTTAATGTGAGATGCCTGGCATAGAGAGAAGGCTGCAGTGCATCGCCTACATGTGCTACTCCATCTCTCTACTTGGTTGACATGAGATGTAAGCCATCATCTTCTCAAAGTGCCTCGACCCCCTTTTCGTGGGGCTGGTTGGAGATTTTTATTTTCAAAGGAGATGGCAACTGAGATTCTTGGGCAACCCACGGACAGAGACTAGTTAGAGGCAGCTCTAAACATTGCATTGTATTGCTCAGCTAGATAGTCTGTCGATGAAAAGTCTGAGGATGTACTCATTGATGAGGAAGCACTCTGGGAGTAATTCAAGACTCTTGAAGCTCGTTGCATTATTAAAGGCAGGTCTGATGTCTTCAGGTCCAGGAAATTCTGGATCTCACAGATTCTTCTATGTAAAACCAGTCTACCACACAAAGTGTGATGGCTACAAACCATGTGCAAAATTTACTTTGTACATTACGTTGTAATTTGCTTTTCTATATAATAAATCACTAAGAAAGTTCATGGTCGATAAGTAACTGCCGTTATCATCTTATCAGATAAAGTTGCTAATAAATTTGAAAAATCCTGTTGTTCTTACAATGTAATAAAACTTACTTTATACATAAAAAGAGACTAATGATGTATAACATTTACTAAAGCATATGGTTCTTGAGAGTTACTTTTGACTATGAAAAAGTACAATAAAAGTGGAAAAACTACAAATAACCTAGGAGTTTCTCTCTTGATCAAAACTTACTAAATAACATGAAAAGCTTACTTCTTATAATAATTAGAAAAAAATATCTTTTGAATGCAATTTGTAATGATGTATGTATGTTTCTAAAGTTACTTCTAATTTTGGAAATTGCTATGAAATTTGGAAAAACTGCTACGAAATGATGAGAGATGATTTACTTTCATCATAGAGAAATTTACTAAAACGTGAGGAAACTTACTTTTTACACGACAATATCAGGATTTTTTAAAAATAATCTTGAACTCTCTTAGTAACTTCTCATTCACGAAAGTTTAAATTACAGTGAAGCATACTAAGGGTGTTTCCCACATGTTTTGCTACTGTCTTCACAAGTACTCTCTCTTCTGTTAGGAATCTTAACACTCGAGTTGTGAAGGTACTTGATTTGGATAAGGGGGATGGTTTGTCCGAACACATTTCCCATTTGTCGTAGCTTTGAATATTATGGCGTGGAATGCATTATTTGCATGCGTCTATGAAAGATTAATAAAGCCGAAAAGTTTGGATATTCCGTTTTATCATAAGACCAAACAATCATGGACTTATAACTAGTTAACTTTTTATGAGGTGAGTAAATTCAATTGGGAAAAGTCTATCGTCCTATCAATAGATGGGAAGTTTTCAATGTTGATACTAACTTTTCATATAACAGAGTAAGATTGAGCCCTCTCAATTTGTTTAGTGTTAGTATAAGCTAACTTTTTCATCTACTAGTAATACTCTTGTAAAGGAGGGCACGAGAGCTCGGAATGTGGCGTTTGATTTTTTCGAATAAGCGGGCATTGATGTCTATGCTGATCATAGGTAGAAGGCTATTGTCTGATCTAAAAAGTCCACAAAAATTACAAAGTTTGTTTTCTCCACCTTTTCCGTTTAAAAAACAAGGGGTCTAGACATAGCTACTAACAAAACTAGGTCAACTTAGAGATTATTTGAAACAGAGGTTCCAACGGTAGTTTCACTTGTGAAGAAAGTTCCTGTAGCTTTTAGAAGGTGTTTGCCAAACATCTCACGGCCGCAGCTACTTCAAAGCTACGATAGCTTATAGGATCTTTATCGAGTTTTGAGGAGCTGCATCTTTAAAATATGCAAAAACCAAATATTAAAATTACAGCACTTCAGGCGCGGTAATGTGCGCAGCACAGTTACAGCTATACTGGGCTCTTATTCCTCACTGATGGAAGAGACAGATCTGCATCTATGTAAGCCAAGGAAGAAGCAAGTTTCCTTTTGATTTCCTGTATAGTTCCCCTTGAGAAACCAAATGTACCTGGCAATGGTCTTTTTGATACCAAGCAAGTCCAGTTCAGTGTCACTGTCAAGCACTTATGTAGCCCCTAAAGTTACACAAGTAGCTCAACTTCTCATATTTCCCTTTAGAACAGACGATTTTCAGAGACAACAATGGCACCAGCACTTCGGGTGCTTGAATTTCCATCTGCAGTTAATTCAGTCGCATCCGAGAATCTTTAAACTAAAGCACATGACCTGCAGAACTTATGGATGATGAATCCATATAGGAGGAGCAAAAGTGAACCGAAAGATTGACCATACCACAATGCGAGGGCTTATCCAAGTCATTGATTTCCAACACAGCAATGAGAACAAGTACCTTCAATCATATTATTGCTTCAGAAATTAGACGTTCAGGGGGCTTAACTCAACCAATATTATACAACAGAAGAGGAAGAGTCGACGTACTAATCTAATCATAATCCTTAATCAGGTAAAGATGTCACCCGCTGGCATTCTCAGCGGAGAGATCGTTCTCGCCATCGTCGCCTTGCCTTATCCTTGCAATCTCGGCTTGAGCGCTCTCCATTATCTGCTTCCTTTGAACTTCCAGATCCCGCTGAAAATCCATCCTCATCTTCTCCAGTTCCACCATCTGCTGCCTCTTACTATTCTCAATCTTCTCGTAGATCTTACTAAATTTCGTCACGGACTCCGCAAGCAATTTGATCGAAGCCCCGTCACTAGACTCTCTTCCAGATTTTCTCTTCTTGGGCGGAAGGCCATCTGAATCGTCTCCCTCTTTGTCAGAAGACTCCGAGTTCCCAGGACTGTCCCTCATCTCATCCATTCCGTTAGCACGGTTCAGGTAAACCCTAGGGTTCATGAAGACATACGCCCCGGAGTCGACCCCACAAGACAGAGCAGTTTGTTGCGAGGGTGATGAGGACATTAACATGTCCATCTTCTTGAAATAGACCCATTTGCTGGAGACACCACCGGTCTCTACAAATTTAGCTTTCTCCTTCTTGTACTTTTTCTTCAATGTATCCAATCGGTTTCTGCATTGACTCTCTGTCCGGTCAACTTTGGATACCTCTGCCACCTTTTCTGCAACTTCTTGCCATTCATCAGACCGAAGACTCTTCCTCCCACGTTGAAGAAACCGCTCGCCCCAAGCGTCAAGTAAAACAAATGTCTCATGTTCGGTCCAATCCATGAGAGAATTCCGGCCACCGGTAGGCGGCAGTGGTTTTGGGACTGGTGGAGGCACATCTTGAGGTGGTGGTACACGAGGAGCAAACTCATAACTAGAAACCAAACTCTTCAGCTTCCGCCTTTTGGGGCGCCTTTCTGGGTCATTCGTTCTTCTAGCTTTCTGGTCATCGTCATCGTCGTCGTCGTCATCGGAAAAATCATCTTCGTCGTTGTCCTCGTCGTCGTCATCTTCATCTTCTCCATTCTTGACACTTTGCCTGTTGCCATTCATTTGATCTTTATCATCTTCTTCGTCTCCCAGCTCTTCCTCTTCATCCTCTTCGTCACCATCAACCTCATCATCATCATCTACGAATTGGTTGCTGACCGGCTTCGAATACGGAGGAGTTCCAACAGGAAGCTTTTGGGAATTCGAGGAACCATACGCCGGTGCCTGATTCGCACCGTGCGAATTAGGGGGGTACCCAGCATCATCCTCGGCGTGGTCCATCTATCACCGTCGAATCTCGAGAAGGACAATATCTCACTGCAAGGAAAACCCAAAAAACTCCAACCTCTCTTTCTTCGCAGAATAAAAGGCGACAGTTTCAGCTCACATGATTACTTCAGTTCTCACTTCAAGACCACACAATCCCCTATAACAGCAGCAAACACTATGGGTAATTTAGGGGGCGAAAGGAACCGAGAAATGATACCCAAATGGGAAAAGCTAAAGTTTTTCACTTTTACACCTTAGTGTCATTCAATTGAAAACTGTGCAAGATGCAGCAAACTAATTACGCTAATTCTAAAAGAACACTCAACACTTGCAGTGCAACATCAGCTAATTAACTTCCTCCAAACCAGCTCTAAAACCCCACTTAGCCGCTAATCACCCAGATTCAGATTCACTGACCTCACCAGAGCCCCCCCCATCTTTGCTTTAAGTGGCAAATCCCAAGCTCGCTTTTTTAACCCCCCCTTTTGCCAAGATTCAGCCCTCGACAAAACCAAACGGAATCTACCCAAAATTGGCTACACCCACCCGCGCCCACAAACGGGGAAAGCCGACGCTAAAGACCCAAACTTGGAGCTCAAAAGATCTTTTACCTTCGGCCGACAACAATCCGCAGTCTCGGAAGGAGTCGAGAGCACCGCCAGCACCGCCGCTTCTTCCGAAACAATCCCACTCATTCTGCGAGGGGATTCATGCTGTGGAGACGACGACGAAGGATCTCTGCCGTGGCGAAGACGGAGCGAGAGAGAGAGGGAGAGAGATTGTGGAGGAAGCAGAGAGAAACTGAAACCGAATTAGGTGGAAGCAAATCGAGAGTGCGGAGGAGCGAGAGAGAGAAAAAATGATGATTCAGCGGAGATATAAGGGGGGGTGGCGCTAACATGCGCCGGGGAGTTCCCTGTGCTTCTTGGGCCTCGAGGCCCAACTCTACTAGCGGGCTTCACTAGGCCCATCTCTTTTTATTAAATTAGACGTCTTTACTTCTGAATTATTTTATTCTATTTTATTCTTAGAGATATGTATATTTTTCTTCTGAATTGAATAGGTGTTATTATCAAAATAAAAAAAAGGTTCCATCACTTGGGAGTAACTTAAGAAACTACATTCGAACTAAATTATATCGTTTGAAAATACATTACTTGTAATTTTATTCAACTTATGGCTAAGCTAACTCAGAAGACCAAATCGTCTTACCTTTTATGGAAGAATTACTTTTTGTCGCGATACAAAATGCAATGAGTATTTTTTTTTTGTAAAAAGTCCCGTCAAAAGAAATTGCCGATACAATTTTTTCATCTCACGAGTTGATAATACCATGAGTGCTACGTCAATTATTATTCCGACACGTAGCAAATGCACGCATTCGCGGCGTTGGGGAAACAAACCATAATCTAAAAGATTAAGCAAGATTATAGGATTGCCAGATATTTGAATCTTGTAAAACAATATTAGTAAAATTTCGAAATATAAAGATAATTTAAGCTTCGAAATTTTTCAAGAAGGTTGTTATAGGATAGAACGCGTCCAAATCTTGATACTGAGACACGCGAGAGTCAGCGTACAAGCTCCACTCACATAAGATTTATGAGATAATTTGGAAGAGGGAAAGGAAAATGATTGAAGATCCATTAAAAGTATTAGACCCTCATCTCATATAGCATGCGCATTTTTCCTAATTATATAGTGAGACAAACGACATCGCTCTACTTTTTTTTGGGCCAAAAAACAAAAAAAATCATGCCTAAATCGAACCGACCAACCAGCAATTAACAACAAAGCCCATAAATGCAAAAAAAAAAAAGAAAAACAAAAAAAAAAACCAGACATACGAACGAGGAAGGAAGAAGGGGGGGAAGCGTGCCGATCTCCATTTTTGCGGCTTCCTCTCCTCTCGCCAATCTCAAAAACTACTCTTCTTCTTCTTCATCATCTTCTTCTTCTTCGTAGTTTCTCTCACTAAGCCCTGTTTCTTCTCTAGTGTCAAATCGTAATCGCTCACAAATTCCCGTCTTTTTAGCCACTGCAAATTCGGTTCCGCATCGCTGTCCCCGGGCGGTCTCGGGCTCCGGATCCGGGTCCGGCGCGGTGGGCACCGGCTCGCCGTGTGTGGAACCGATGCGGTTCGCGTCGGGTTCGATGGGCGGGGTTCGGTTTGCCGCGGATTCCGGCTCCGGCGGGCGTTTCTTGGTGTGCGGGCTTGGGGATGCTTGAATTTCGGCTTCGAGGGTTCTTGGGTTTTTGATTTGAATTTGGGGGGGTTTTTGGAATCAGAGCTTCTGGCGGTGGAGTTTCGGGGGGAGGGTTTTCTTGGGTTGATTTGGGAGGGGCAGGGGAAGCAGCCATGTTCTATGGTGCGGTGGTGTGGGATCCTTGGCTCATCGTTGCCCAGATCGTGTGTCTTCAGTGCTTGTATTACCTCACGCTGGGTTTGTTCCTGTCGCTCCTCGTCGGGACGCGTGTCTCGCGCATGAGCCTCGTCTACTTCTTCGACTTTGCGGCCGTGACCACGGCCACGGTGACCGGGTGGTCCGTCATCGCCTCGTTCGTGCTCGCTGCAATTGCAGGGTGAGATTGAAAAGCTTTGCTTTTTTTTCTTTTTTTCAAATAGCAGATTCCGTTTACGGTTCATTTTATGTTGTTGCGATGATGTCTTGCGGGCTCTTTCGTTTTTATGTGAATTTGTGATTGTTGTGGAGTGTGTGGATGAATGCCCCCAACTTGACGAATGTGTGCCTGTTATGACCTCCATAACAATGTTAACTCAGGTTAAGCTTTATGCTGCTCCAACTTGCTATGTTACTTTGTCATGTCTTTGGTTCCATCTGTTTGGTTTTTATTATCTAGTCGATAAAATGAGCTGCTGTTCTTGTTTGACTGATTTGGGACTGTTGGAATGATGTCTTTTCTGGTTGAGCAATCATCCACATTCCGAATTTATACTCTTCTAGTCAGGAGAAATGGCTTGGCATGGTTTATTATTGTCCCTTCTGACTTTGAGCTGATACATTGTTAACCATTTATCGACCTGATTTTTCCCCCCTTTGCCATAGTTCAATACTTTGCTTTGCTATCTTGTCAAGTGGTTTGATACGACATTTCAGGTCTTTTTCTGCTAGAAAGTTAGAATATGACCGTCCTTTGAAATTTTAGTTTGATAAATTGCGAAAATATATAGCTCACTATATGAGGCTTAGCTGTAGGGGGGAAAAGGTTGATTTTGTTCACCAATAGAAGAAAAGGAATTGCATTGAGACAATTAGGTTGTGTTCCATGACTGAATATTTGAAAGACCATATGGTGACATCCATTCTTGGTTCGTCTTGGTGTCATAGGAAAGTTTGTTACTTCCATTTTAGAATTTCTTTTGTATATCCACACAGGAACAAGTACTTGTGCGTGCAGTAAATTTATTTGGTTTCACTTTGGATCTGACCATCTATGCAATGCTTTAGTCAACGGTAGATTTCCCAGTTTTATCCCCCAACTGACCATCTCTAGTTTTGTTTACTCTCAATTGTCGTGAAAACACCCTGTAATCTTAGCCTCTTTACTAGTCCATTTTGTGACTTTAAGAATCACTGAAAAGCATTGTCATATGTCCCCATGTATCAGACACAGTCGCTTAGACTGCTTAGTAGCTATGTCGAGAAAAACAAAAAGAAGAATCTGTGACTTGGGACCTGAAGACATGATTTGTCTGTAAAGTTCAAACCCAGATGCAGTGTTAGGACCTTTTTTTTAATTTTAGTTCGAAGAAAACACACCTGTGACTTTGAAGAAAATAAATCTGTGACTTGTTCGCCCTTCAAGCATGCTAGTATCAGTCATTCAAGCTAATGATCCGATGTGTTTGAATGTATGTGCTTGAGATAACTGGATGTGACAGTGTAACTGTGAGGTCTTTATCTGGACCTTTTACCATATCATTCTGTCTGTGGTTCTCTCGTTTGCTGTAATATTGGGCTCGCTTCAACGATGTTGGGGAGCTGCTAATATATTAAACATAGATATGAAAATGGAATGCTTAGGATATAACAGGTGCTTTGTGAATTGTAAATGTTAAACTTGTTTTATGGAGGGAGAACGTATCTATTTTAGAATTTACTGTTTACGTGCTTATAAAGGAAGAAAGTCGCCCACAGTTTCTTATATTGAATCCTGCTATTTCTTGATGCAGAGCTGGATATATGTTTTATCTAATTGAGAGGGCAAAGAGATGCCTGGACTTTTCTGCCACTTTATTTATCATTCATCTCCTTATATGCATCATATATGGAGGTTGGCCTTCCTCAATAACATGGTGGGTCATTAATGGCACTGGACTTGCAGTGATGGATCTACTAGGTGAATATTTGTTCATCAAACGTGAACAGCGGGAAATTCCCATTGCATGGCATCGTCCAAGTAAGGCTTTTTTCTCCTCTTTGAACTAACTCAATGGAAGAGTGTCCGATAATGTCTTTGTTAAGTTCCCCATAATTTGAGACTTGTTTGTTAGAATTTGACCTATCTGTTCGTCTCTCTTTTGCTTCCCTCTGCAATGATGCATCCAAGCAACGCTAAAGAGTCGTCTTTAGCTTTTCTGTCTTGTACTTTCTCGGCGATAGTCTCATTATTTTTGTTAAAGTTTTACTAGCTTTCTTTAGTTCATTGTTTTGAGCTGGGATTATCGGTGCAGATGTTTGACCAACTGGAGAAACGATACCAGCAAAAACAAGTTTCATCGGAGTATATGGGCGATTCCTTTGGATGATGTTCTGAATGCTATCCTATATACCTAATGAGGATAGGTTAGATTGTGCATGATGGTTATAGACTGAAGTGACGACAACAATGAGCACGCTGGGGTCGGAATTGTGCTTGTGGGATAAGGTCAAGCTGATGAATAGGATGGTTTTGGATTTTTTTAATATGCAATTAGGTGGCTTTGAGAAATCGATGCCAATTGTACTTCTGGCAGTCGATTAGTGAGGATGAAATGTCCAGTCTTAGAGTCCATATCTTTCAAATGAAATTTTCATAATTTTCTGCAACTCAAGCATGTCAACGTTTGGTTTGGAGAGTGCTGTCTGAGTAAATCGTGCGTTGACTGGCGTAGAATATCGAGAACAAGCTTGTGTCAATAAAAGGTTGAGCTTCATTTACCAGCTGAACTTATTAGATGAGACGGATTTCCATGCCTGCGTCTACGGGGCAGCTGAACTTTTTCCTCATATCTCTCTCTCTCTCTCTCTCTCTGCTTTTGCTGTTGTATCCCGTGTGACTCATGCTGGATTTTACTGCTAAACCACCAGCAAATTTACGAACAAGGATGCCACCAGCTCTTGAAATGATTTTGACACAGCGGAGTTACAAGCTTCTTGATTGGTCGGCAAGTTCAAATGTAATTGGCAGCAAACGTCTTTACTTTGCTTTTGTGTCGGCACATGTGAGAGATCGAGGAAATTTATAGAGGCAAAACGCAATCAAGGGTTTGGACCATCGAAATTGGAACCACAGCGTTTTCGAGCCGAGAGTTTTTCTTCTGGTTGCAGCTTGCAAGCATGGACAAGAGAAAGATGCGTGAAATGGTATAATTTGTCTTTTGCATGGGTTTTGCAGTGCCAAGAACAACCAAGCAATAGTCCTGTCTAGCGAATATCTAATTAGCAAACACAAGGCCGTCGGATTGCTCACCGTAGTTAATACATTGATTCATATGGACTTCTTTGTAACCGTTTTAGTCAAAAACTAGCCTAAAAGGCTGATTTTTGAGGACCGAAAGTGCTTGAGAAATAATGGCGACAGAACCAAGTTAAACCTTGATGGCTATGAATTCGAAGCTTTGAGCTGTATAAGTTTGGAGGAAAGAGATACAAAAACCTCTTCAAGGAAGAGCACGGCTTTCTTCTTCCTCTTGGTGTAGCAAACTGTAACAGCGATTGCAAAAATTCCTGGCTAGAAAAGGAAAAGAAAATGAGCAGACATTGAGTCCTCTCTTCACTTGTACTCTTCCCCGACATATGCGCCAAGCTGTCCGGTACTCATGGTTGGCACTTCCACAATGAAGAAATGTCGGCGACGGCTTCTCCGACGGTCATGTACAATCCATTCAACCCGAAGCTGTCCAGCACTTGTGATTTGTGTAGCTTCTCCGTCACATTCCCGACAGGACTTGCCAAAACAAGCTACAAGAAAGACAAGAAGAGCATATCGGAGAATTAACTTCTCTTCGCCTTTAGGTCATCCCAAGCCTGACAAAGTTCACTACTTCAATATGGGTTGTACCTTGAGAGATTTCTTTTCCACCATCTTCCTGATTTCCACTAATGCATCGATGCCACTTGTGTCTATGGAAGTGACAGCTGTGGAAAAATAAAAGACCCGTCATTTTCATCAATCGACAAGCGAGGATTAAACAAGCCGTATGGAGAGACTCGAAGGCTTAAATGATTTGATGTTCTTTGGATAAAGGAGTTCAAAGCTGATATATTGAGCAAGCATGCTCTCATAGAAAGACAGAATCCACATGAACTACAAACTTATTTGTTAAAAGAAGTAAAACTTCTTCATGGATCACATGAATTCTCATAAAAAAGTCCAACTTAATGGATTTCTTTGATACTGTCACTAGAAAAATATTCTTTGTTAAATATATCATGTAGTTCACATTACGGTTCAGGACAATCGGCTTCAAAATCTCAGCATTATTTTATTGGAGTGTGTCAAGATGTTGCAGGAAATATATGTAAAATGTTCTAGTCGGTGGAAGTGCGAAGGTAGTACCCGTCATGTCGAGAATTAGGCATTTCAGTGCACTCCGATTGTTCTCCTTTATCCATTCTTCCTCCTCTCGCACCCATCTCATGATCCTGCGTACGAGAATTTCAATTACAACCACAAAGAAACCAGGAAAAAGTTACTTTTTTAGAACGCGCGTGATCTTTTAAACCTATCAAGGACAGGAAGCTTCAAATTTTTTGACCAATATAGCATTTTTCCATCTAGATCTGCTGATGACTCTGAAGAGGTGTCAAGAAGGCTGACCTCTCCAGCAGGTAGGTGGAATTGGCGAAGTAGATAGGAGATTCAACAGCAAGTATCAGAAAAGATGGAACTCTTGATGCTTCTCTGTATCTGCTGAGGTTTTGGTATGTATGAGTTCCTGGAATATTTCCCAATACCAGAGTGTTTGGCCTAGTGACATGCAAGAGAATCTTGAAGACAGAAACTCCAACCTGAATTTTAAAAAAATGTCAAGTTAACCAAAATGGGTTGCTTAAAGAAGCTACTGAAATCTTGAAGTCTCCTCCTTAAAGTTTAAGATCAGTTTAAAATCTGTAATGCCTTCTACAACGAACGTAGCTAAGAAAGTCGGAGCATGCTTCAAGTACGAGAGACTCACAGCAATGGCTAGACCCAAGGGCACAGAGATGAAAAGGACCCCCACAAAGGAACATACACATGCCAAAAAGTCAAGCTTGTCAACTTTCCACAACCGAAATGCAGCCTGATAATCAATCAGACCGATCACGGCTGTTATGATGATCGCAGCTAAGATGACGTTGGGAGTGTAGTGAAATAGTGGCATAAGGAAAAGCAGAGTAACTAGCACTGCTGTTGCCATAACTATGTTCGAAATTGCCGTTTGCGCCCCCGCATTATAGTTAACAGCAGACCGGGAAAAAGACCCTGAAAATGACAGTAGAGGTATAGTAGTTAGAACCGCTAAAAAGGGAACTCCACTTTTCTTGAGAAGGAGACATGATTAGGCGCTTTCAACATATTCACCGATCCTCTCACATTTTTATGTGGACTGCTATCTCGTGGGACCCGCTATCATGCGAAAAGAGGAGTATATTCTAAACTAACGTAACAGTTGGCCACACAAAATCCCGTGCATGCAAAAGAAAGAAAACCTAGCTATGCAAAGAAGTAAAATAAGTACCTGTGGTGACAAAACATGAGGAACAGGAGCCGGCCATGTTCATCAGGCCAATAGCCATCATTTCTTTGTTTCCATCGACTTGGTAATTTTTCATAGCAGCAAGTGTTCTTCCGACTGCAATACCTTCCTGTTCAGATGTTATAATGAGTATGATAAGTATATGCAAAAGTAAAGAATCTGTGTTCAAAGAGTCAATCAATCGCAATATGCATATGTAATTCACAATTCTTACAGTCAAAGATAAAATTCCAGTTATGATGCCGGTTTTGACAGCCAGTGCTAGATAAGGGCCACTCAGGCATATCATGTTTGATGAAGGCGGATTCAGACCCTTCGGCAAGTGGCCAATCTGTGCATAACAGTAATTTTAGTCAATAAAGTCCCAAACATGAAAGTAACACATAAGTTAGGAAGTCTGCTATGAATATGTCCAAAAACTGGGAGTAAATCCTCAGTTCATACAATTGAGATTCCATGAGCTTTTGATCTGAGGAGGAAAACTAGAATAGTTGACAAAACCACTGATGTTAAAGGGGCAGCTGCTGAAATCCAGAATAGCTTTGGTCTTCTAATGCTCTGTGACATTTGATGGAAACTCAAAGGTTAGACTACAAGAATGAGTCAATCATTCAACATAATGATGGCTAGCAAAATGAATGTTTGGCCGAGGTAAACTTACAATATGCCTCGTTGTCAATAAAAGGATTAAGAAACCGACTCCCATGATGACACTTTGCCAAGACCACTGCGAGTCACAAGTGTAACTTAAGTTAAGGATCTCCAGAAAAAGAAGGCGAATATAAGTTGAAATTGAACCTATAAACAAATTTGATAAAGGATAGTATAAGTTGGAATTACCAAATGAACGGATTTCATAAAATTTATACTTCAAATCGTATTACCCTCAGTTCCAAGATCATATTTCGAAAGGATTGCCAGACTTTTCCTATGAAAAATTTAAAATGATATTTGTTTGTTGCGGTGTTATTACACAATATCGTCTCTTTCTTTCTTGAGATACCGATATGATGCTAAATAGAATAATATCACTCGTTCGAATTCCAGTAGGATATATGTGAAGTAGCTCTATATCATGTATGAAGATTCCTATTAGGCTTGCTAAAAGAAATTAAGATTTGAAAAGAAAATGACGAATTACCTCGTCTTTTTGTTTGAAGACCGAGGACATAACAGGAACAAATTGCATCTTGGTGGTGAAGTGGACAATCCCAAGCAAGCTTTTCAACTGCTGCAATGACACTATAACTGCAGCCCCGGCCATAAAACCAACCAGTGTCGCTTTGGAGAGAAAATCAATTACAAATCCCAACCTGTAAATAATGTAATCAAACTCAGTCAAGTTAGTCTCTGGATTATAGTCACTTACTTCTATGATATTTCCTACAGTTTTAACTCAACTCCTCTGAGAAAACTCTTATCGTGGAATTACAGTTCTCTGTCAATTGTATTACTTTCAAACAATTTTGGACGAGAAGAAAGAAATTGGTTGGGTAAGTGATACCTCAGGAGACCCAGAGAAGCCTGAAATAGACCGGCGAAGAAGGTGGCTGTGAAGGCCAATTTGAGATACAGAATTGGCTCTTGGCTGTAAGACACTGTCTCACTGAGCATTGACCCCATGACTAGAGAAGCAATTGACACAGGTCCAACAGCGAGGTGCCTGGAGCTTCCAAGGATTGAATATATCAATGGTGGAACAAAGCTTGAATCTGCATGAATAAAACACGGTTTAATTAAATATAAAACTGCAGAACCAAAACAGCTCAATTAGTTTCATGGCTCAACTAGTTTCATGTACTTGTGACAGAAAAACAGAAAAAGAAAAGAACGATTCGATCGACACTCACATAATCCTACAATAGGTGGCAAATTTGCAAGTTTTGCATAGCTGATTCCCTGCAATGTAAGACACAGGTAGTGAGATGACCCCAAATCAGGATTGCAAAAAAGAAGAATAAGAAGAAGAAGAAGAAGAAGAAAAAACAGAAAAAGAAAAAGAAGAAAAGGAAGAAATGGACTATGCATTAGTATTTGTTTCACAAAGGGAAAAAAAAAACAGCCAGAAAAGTCGAGAACCTCAAACCTCAACTGAGTCATTTTACAGGATAATTGGATCTAGCAAAAAATTAACTTGGTTTAATTCATCACCATAACAACATTGAGCCCTCTTCCTGGAAAATAATAATGAGAAAAGGG